TATAACGAAAATAACGAATTGTTAAAATAATTTATATTCGATGTATATTTATCGAACAGCCAATAGAACACGCTTCTATGTGATGCAAGTGACTATCCTCCAGCTTTCTGTACTTGGCAAGAGTAGAAGGTACAGTCAATGAAAGGAGAATGTTCTCTAAAGACACAGATATAATTTAGTAGCGAGGAGATCGAAATTTTATAAGGCACACAAAACGTTATTGTAAAGCTTTTCCAACACTTTTTACGCCCATCGATTATGGCAGGCAGCTTCTATGTAACACAATACTTAAAATCATATTTTGCAATCGATCGCTTAGCGATTTGTAAAGGATCAGTTTCAATGAGCCTTTTGTGGCACTGGCGCTGAAGTCTCTAAAGGTAAATCAGATAGGCACAAAAACGGTGATCTTGCCATTTTCGTCATTTAATTTCGAACTGATATATTGTAAGTAGCACAAAACGGGATATTTTCAGGATTAGTCAATAGAAAAAAAACCTAAAATTGCATCCAGGTTTGTTTATCTCCTCTGAAGCGGCCTACCTGCATATGTCTTTTTACATCTATTTCTCCGTAAACAACGCACTATTTATTTAATTAAATATTAAACTAAAACGCTACAGCTCGCTCGAACGAATATAACGATAAAAAGATATACTAAAGCTAAAAAAAACCTTTTTTAACCAAATTATTTCTATAAAGCGGCAAAAAAATTCTTGTAATTTCTTCTTGGATGAATAAACGAGTGGTAAATGAGAACGTCAGTGCATGTGAAGGTCAATATTTTTCGAAGTCAATATCTCTGTTTATGAATTTATATAAGAGATATGTATAAAGTGTACAATATGCAAACCAATAACCGATTTCACGAAAGTGAGTATAAACTATGTTGAAGTCTGCCGTTTTGTTTCTAACACAATTTGCGTTTTTTTCACAAACTCATTAAATATTGTGTAGAACATTAGATATTGTTCGGTAAGGCAATATTTTACCAGTTTTCGGTGCAGCAAATAAGCCTATGCATGATTTATCAGCTTAATACTTGGGATATGCTAATAGATTGGTGCTACGATGGCTAATCCTATGATACCCTTCGAGAGGATGCTACAATGACTTGTTTCAAATAAGACGATCTAACTACTAGAGCGTTGTTAGGATTAAACCCTCATGGTGTCAATCCTGATGCAGCAGTACTCACGGACAGTGCAACGCTACCGGAAGGATGTAAAGAGTAAAATAATTATACATATTCTGAGAGAAACAACGGTCTTTACTTACTCTGCAGACGTCATACCTGCGCAGTATTTTAAGACTCCCTCTTGTCTGAATGGCAACTTTCTGTTCTTCGGCTGAAAAAATGTCATCAAATGAAAGTAGAAGGCATTGACTTAGTCGTCCTTTAAGATTAGCAGCTAGGGTCGTCTTGCCAGAGGCTGGAGGCCCGAAAATTAAAACAAGCACCGTAGAAGCGTTCTTTTCCGCCATCTAAATGATGGATTACCCTTAATGTCAGGCCCAAATATCTAAAAACGATCAGAAAACATCAAAAACATGAGAAAACTTACTTTCCGACAAACGCATAAATTAGTATCCGCGTATTTCGTATACTAATTTACAGATTCTACCTAGCCACCCCGAATTTGATATTAACCGCTTACGTAAGTTTAATTTAGAAAAATCAATATATACTCTTACGGTCATATGTTGAACTAAACTGATAAAAGAGTAACTTTTTAGACTTTGTTAGAAACATCCCGAAAGAACCATCTTATAGTTGCCTTCGCCACAATTTTTTTATCCATATGGGATATATACAAATGCCTTAGTTGTGGATTTCGGGGATACCATTTTATTATATTGTGAGCCTTGAAACAATCTCGCAATTGTACTAGACATGATATAGTCTTCTCTTTTATATCTTGTTTATCCTACAAGAGCTAAAATCCGAAATTCTCGCGCTCGTTTCTTTTGTGTTAGAAAAGGTGTTTACATTTACTAAAAGACCTTACTTCTTTCGACACATAAAAAGCAGCTTAGCATCAATAAACAGTAGTACACTGAAAACCCTTGACTTCGGGTAAACAAAGTTTTTCTAAGTATCTTGGGTAGGACATCCGACAGGCTTACAAATCTGACAGGATTCGATCTTCCAACAAAAATTAAATTATATTACTGCCGATGGGTTAATAAAGTCGTTAGTCGATAAATCATTGTATATCACAAAATTGAAAACTGTTTATATTTTAAAAAGCTGTTTTGTAAGACAAACTGAATACCGTTATGACCACAAAGTACAGCAAGTACGGAGGTCCTAGGTTTTTGAATTACAGGACTCAGTGGCTCATCAGTCTCTATGGCCTTACAAGATATGCTTAGAACTCGAATATGCTATCTTAAGTGATCGATAGCGTTTCATCACGATTATTCAAGAAATACAAGGCTGTATATGGCCCGTTCCATCAGAAACCTATCTCTGTAAATGTATGCTACAGCAGATCGCCGTAAGGGTGAATATAACTGATACCTATTTTTTGTTAGCAGTGAAAAGCCAGGATGCCTCCCTCTATAGACCATAGAGTGAAAGCCGGGAGCGCTTTAGGTCATGCTTAATTCTTAAGCAATATAAATATAAGCTTAAATATTAACAACAGTGCATTTAAAAAATACAAAAACAATGACATTCAATCATGGCAAACTTTCAAACTCAATTATATTACAATGTCTAGTAATAAAACTAACGATTAAAAGTATACAGGTTTTTATAAAATTCACAACAAGCATTTTGCCGGTGATGCACTTAATTGAAAAAAAAATTGGCAGGAAAGTCATGAAACTCTACGTATGGCTAATAGAAATGCTGGAAATGTGACATTTGTTTTATTTCCATAGACATCACATAAAAAACATAGGATTGCGTAGGAAATACGCGAAGCATAAAAGAAACTGTTTTTGTCTTGTATTCATTATATGCATTAAAAACGAATGGCAGTTTTAAATCAAATAAGAAGAACTTTGCGTTTAGCAGCTTTGTGTTTACACAAGAACTAGCCTTAATGGACTTCTAAAACCCGGTAACCTCTCAGCTTAGCTATCAGGTGCTATGTGTTCAAAATATCAATAGTACCAATCATTACACATAGTTGGTTCCAATAGAAGGTGAGCGGCATATACAAGATGAGTGAGCAAGCGTAGGCCTGTACCATTAGAAAACGTGACCTATAATTCAAACTGAGGTGAAAAACAGTAGGTTTACTAAATGGGATTAAAGTAGGTTAACAATTAGGTATTAGTAGAATAAGTATAGCGTTATGACCCTAGCAAACACAGCTTCCAATCGCACCCTCAACTAAAGGTTAATTTCCTTCAACTGTAAATTGGTTTTCCAAGCTGCCCAATTCCGTGGTTACACTTCCGCTATTATCAGCGTGTTTGAGTCATGAAGTCAACTGATTGACACTTTAAGCTGCCGCGCACGCCTCTTCGGCCACAAGATTTACGATCATACAATTGATCTGGCTGACCCGTTGCTTGGCTGCCGCGAGAGTCCTAAGATAATCTCTTCTACTGTGCCAGTCTGCGCCAGCCTGCGCCAGCTGCAGATAAGCAAAAGTCTTGAGAACGTAAAAACTGGCCTAATTATAGTTGTCAAAGTGGTCGTTTTAAAATGTATGGATTAAACGTGTTTCGTGTGTGGTAGCAGACAGGCGAACTATGGCGGTGAAAATTTCGACCTAAAATACAAATAACAGTTATCAATAATTTCTTCTTTCTTTTTTTGCTATTAAAATCACCTTTATTAATGGTGCAGTTTTGAGGCTGTAACAAATTTGCAACCTGTTTTCTTTCCACTAGAAGGCGGTTAAGTTCCTTGTAAAATAGAAAGCAAGAATAGCTTGAGATCTTTCCGGAGCCACATGACAAAACAAACATAATGGTATCAAGCATGCAATTAACGCGTGTAGATTCGCTTCTGCTTTATATCAAACCTTACCATGGTAGGTTATGCCAGTAGATTCTAATGATCTAACTGCAACCTTGAATATTCCTGAGTTTTCTCTATCCGCGCACCTAAAGAATAACCTACCTACTATCAATTGTTGCTTCCACTATTATCATCATCATCGACAAGAGAAACAGTTGTACGAGAAAGTAGTTTTCCATTACCTTACACCATCTATACCTACATCGAAGACAGAACAGCAGTACATAATAACAGCTTCTGTTATTTCGTCGACCGACACAAGGGTAGCAAACCGTATCCACCACTTCCGCACTGAAATTTCTTGTTATACATAATCTACGCACTTTCAGCAGACATCAGGCGCTAGATGTTTTCCTTCGTCCTTCTGGCTTGTCCCGTTCGTTGCCGACTGGTAGAGAAGGGTATCATATAGACAGCGCGTGCGGGAGCATCTGTGCAGCTCGACTCACAGAGTCTACGACTGCCTAATTGTGTCCGATAACCGAAAGCAATGCTTAAAGAAAGCGTAGTTTCTCAGAACATACTGGTTATTGGGGTGAAGAGCACCCGGAAAAGAGGACTGCCATCGGCGCCATTTATTTTCGTTGTTTTGATTTCCACTTGTGCGATTTCTTCCTTTCGGTCGCGCTGCTTCTGCTGTTGTTATTAAAGCGGCCATGGCAGTCTCTGCTAGTGCTGCGTCTAGCGCCACTCCTTGCCGCTATTTTTGTTATTGTTATTATTATCGCTGTGCGTTAGTTTCTGGCGGGCGGTTGGCTATTAAAGTGTCGTGTCATATCTTAGCTCCTGCGGAACCATCGTCGCGGGATTGTACCAGGAACGACTCTGTGACGCTCGGCAGACGAGAAACTCTGCAGCCTAAATAGCGAACAAGTACATGAGAAAGGGTAAAGGGAGCAACGACCTCCGATTCTCAACTGCCGCCAATAACAGGAGCGGTCGCGCCATTCGTCTCGTGCAGACAGTGCTAGTAATAATATAATACATGGAATAATCCTCTGAAGCCGTTTCCGGCAACGTTGTCAAGCTCTTAACGGAATATCGACCAGGTGCGTTTGGGCGTGTGTGCCGGTATTCGTGTGTATCTGCCTGCGTGTGTATTTTAACCAATTTTAATCAATTTCTGTTGTTGTCGTTGTTTGCACGAAGCAACCCGCAGAAAAAAAGATCAGAAAAGCCGCTGCTATTCACCAGCACTGCCATGGACCGCGACGAGCACCACATTAATGGACTGTTCCGTGCCACAGTAGAGGGCACCATAGTAAACAAATAGGCGCCGACAGACCAACCGACAGACTGGCCAATAAATAAAAGAACTGCCAATATAGCAATCATTTTCTTACTATATACTGTTATGCATTCCATCGAGCAAGGAGAACGACTATATTTGCTGCGACTTGTTAAATCGAACTCGTTAGTAATTCTGGCGATTTGTCCTCGCACATGACCATAAGGAGAGTGCTAGAGGAAATGAAGTAGTAAAAGTACGTATTTGTTCAAGTCACGAGTGTTTTGTATGAAAGCACTACTACATCGATTTTTTTGTCTTTATGAAGAGCTTGTCATTCAGTGGCCGGCGGTAGAACGTGTCGAGTGCAGTGCGCAGTGAAGAATACAAGCCAAAAAGGCTCTATAAAAAAAAAAAGGCACCAAGACTTAACTCTGGTATGCTGATGCTTGAGAAAGGCGTTAGTAACAGACACTCACGATTCGTTTCATAAATAACTGTAATGCATTTTGACTCAACTTTTTAGTTTAGAAGTACACCAGAACGACTCTTGTGTGAAGACAAGGGTGTAGTATCATCAACGCCGTCAACATGAAGTATCTTTCTGAGGAACGTAAGTCTGCTCTCCTTGATCGCATTCGGAATCAGACGCGCCGATTACATATGCTTAAGAGTCGACACAGTAGAATCCTGCCCGCCGTTGGTGAGTTCTATATAGATTAAAAAAAAATTTCCAGAAAGATGACGCAAAACAGTACTTTACAGATAGAAGTTATATCTAGAGACAGTATAATATTTATTACTAATTAAAAAGAAAAGTCATGCTTACTGCCGATGGTTAGTACAATATACCTATATTTCTTCCATGCAATCCTTTTGTGTTATTTTATGTAAACACCGAGTATCTTAGGCCACTTGATTTGTGGTGGCAACGAACTCCAGTGGTAGCTTTAGTCTTTTGTGAAGTTCTAATATTCCTTTACCACGAACCGGATGTTTCCTAAATATGATTTTTTTTGGGATTGTTCCAACAGCATCACACACGTGCTATATGCACTATAGGATAGTATAAATAAATTTTGCTTTTTCAGCTCGAATACTCTTGCCAAAACCTGTTGTCCGTGATACGCTAAATATTTTTTTTAATGTGTTATTTTTTTTACGAATAGAGCTTAGAAAAGCCTACTTCTTATCGGTTTTACGCCAATTGACTATGGTCCAAGCTAAGGTTTTATAAGTGTTTATCTTTATTAGTTTAGGTGTTGCTAAATAAAGCTTGCTTCTCTATTCATTAAAGTGCAAATTATTCTTTTCTGATTATTAAATCGGTATTTGTATTGCTTTAAAAAAAAGTTACTGTTGCGATAATAAAACATGTAGAAGCAGGATCTCAACAGAGTTAACAAAAAGGGTCGGCCGTAGCTGAATGCATAATTTTTCTTTAAAATTCGTATAAATAATTTAGTCATTGTAGATTAAGATGCGTGCTTTCTCTGATAAATATCTCTTCAAAGGTAGAATAGAGCGTGCTCCGCTAAATTTTTGCATTGTTAAATCTAGCTTACTATTAACATATCAGTCTGTTATTCCGGTGCTAGTGTATATAATTTCCGTAATCACCTTCCACGGCGCGTATCGATTTACGGTATGCTTTTCAGGGGCCGCTGTTGCACACGTACAGGCTAACTGTGATGCAGCACTTGCCGCAGACTCTGAACGTTTGCTGATGCGAGCGAGCAATCTCGCGCGTACATGGATTAACGCAGCCGATCCCAATGTGAGTATCTTTACTCGAAAATTATACATACTTCACTCTGTGAGTTTTTTTTTTCTAAGACTGTATCTAGTTAAAAAAGGATATCTCAATGAAGTTTTTTGTATGTAGTGTCATTACTAATCATGTTTAGTCAATATAACGATCATTCACCGCGACTACAGCTATAATTTGCCACCGAAACCACTCAGTAATCCTTTTTAGCATATTGTTTTATTCAATATGCTAAAAAGGCTTTTTAATAGCAACCTTATATCAAGCAATATTAATGATCAAAAACTCAGTACAGTATTACAGTAGAGCAAGTACAAAAAACTAGTGAAAATAAACGGACTGATAGCAGGACAATAAACCTTCGAAAATGTAAGTGCTCACAGCTGTTAAAAAGCCCAAAAAGTACATTACCGGCTAACCGACAGAGTTTTTGTAGACGACCCAATTGGCAGTTCATATATTCCCTTCCAAAACGCCGTTAACATCTGTATCAAACATTCAGATGTATTAAAAATGGCTCTTTAAGTAATACATACTATTGGTTTCGTGAGAAAAAAGAAGCTTTTGATCTTGGTCAGGGTTTAACCAGTGCACAGAGGCTACGTAAGAGCTGATCTTTGCTCCAGCTCTGTAAGCAACGTATTGTTTGTTACCATGAAAAATTGTTGTTTATTCCAGAAAGAACTAGCTTTCCTTTAATACCATGAATAACAAATGAACGTATGCCCGCTGTGACAGCCAACCAATGTTTGGTTGTTTTCCAGTACCCATTTTGTGAATAATGAAGTGTTATAACCCGTAGAGTTTGATGGCCGTAGGTTAGAAACTAAAACTGCGATCCTGCTAATGGCCAAGGCTTTTATGCCCTAACGGTATTTGAACCATCTCCATTAATCGCTTATTTTTGCATGTATATATATAAACGCTACTACCCAAAACACCATTACTGGATCAAATAATATACGACTAAACTCTTGATGGAAATTTTTTGTTGCGCTGTTGCCTTATTGAAAATAATCTATGTAAGATTAATTTCACGCTACTTTACAGTGCTTTGGCGTAGTGGATTACTAGTTGAGGCGGTATATATATAATGCCTTCAATGTAAATAATAAACAGTTTACGTCTTTTATTTGCTGTTTGTGATACCTCAAACTTAGATAGTATCTCTTTCAATAATATTTGTTCAAGGTAATGATTGTGAAGTGAAAAACGAGAAGTAGAATGACGAGTAGTTTAAATTAAAAATGTTTCAGGAGGAGCTTGAAATGGAAATTGACCAGCTGTTAGTGTATCTCGAGCGGCGTCGCTATCCTCGACGATGGATCAACGGTGATCTAAAGACACTGGATGCTCCGCTCGACGGGCTTGTTCGTAATCATAATAACAATAATAATAATGTTAATGATGAGGATGATGATGAAGATGAAGAGAATAATGCTGAACAAGATGATTAAATCCGAGCTTCAGATCAATAACACGAAGAACAAGAGGAAATAATTTAAAAAATAATGAAGAGGGTTGTTCAAAGGATAAGCTAGTTCCATAACAGTAATTCTGTCCACTCAATTTCACTAATAGGTACGGCACCCAAATTAAAACTTTTCTTATCTTTTTTCTTGAAACTGTATCTAAATAAAAACAGATATGACAACGAAATTTTCCACAAGTGCCAGAAGTGTCATTCCTGACGGTCTTGTTTATCCTGTATAACCATTATTCATTGCCATTCAATTTGGGATCCAAACCATTTACTAGTTTCAAAGTATTCCTTCTTTAAGTGTCAAGAGATATTCATAGGCATAGTGTCGATAAAAAGTTGCATAAATAATCTACATACAAAAAATTCGAGCGGAATTAAACTTTAGGCTAATGGCGGGCCAGAGGCCCGAAAATGCAAGGACTCAAAGTGGCCAAAATGTACGAAAAGTGCCAAAAGGCGCAAAAAACTTTAAAAGAGTAATTATTGGATTTTACCTGAATGATCGGATTGACAATGATTATTTTCCTCTCCGAACCAGCCGTTTATTCCTGTATAAAAATCCACGTATATTAAAAATGATGTTTTAAGCCATTTTGATAAATTTTTAAACTCTTTGAAGCTAATCTTGATTCACGATATTCCGGCTTGCCTCGTAGAAATCTTCCTTGAACTTTTCGAAACTTGCGCGAAAAACTAGCAACAACGTAGGTCGTTGACTTTGGGCAAAAAATAAAGTTTTTGATCTTAGTTGGGATTCGTTTAGTCCGAAGAGACTGAATAATAGCTTATTATCGTTCAAATCGTGAAAACGACCCAGTATCTCCTTAGATGCCGAGTCATGCTTTTATCTGTTACCAAGAACATTTGTCTATTACTATGAACGACCCGCCGAAGTTTTCCTAATTCTAGTATGGTACCCTTTATATATATAGCGCATACTGAGAATAAACGGCGATGCTTTATGAACAACGTTCAAAAACATAAATACACATACAAACACAAATAATAATGATACTAATCTATATTTATAATAGAAAGTAGTTTTAAACGTACTTGTGTTCCATTATTAAAAATATGCAAAACGAATGTAGCCTCACAACAAATAACAACAATATGTATTCCGGTGAGGCACCGTTAATAAAACATGAAAATAGAGAAGAGTCTGCTAATATAAAACCCTTTGATCAGACTATGACAATAAAGGCTGGTGATCCTATGCGATAGGCGAGCACCAATTACTGCGGTGTCTGCATTGAAAATACAGAAGCGTTTAGATCTAAGATATCCGAACATATGCACCATACATTCGTAATTATGTATGTGTTAATGGTCAGCAAAAAGAAACACTTAAGCTTTGTAAATATCATAAATCGCTGCGATACATTACGGAGTTTTCAATACAGAGAGCAAAAGAAATTTCCCCAGAATGGTTCATACAGAACTTCTGATGGGCTCATAAATTAATACAGTGTTTGTTTCTTCGATGTCTGACCTGTTCATCAAGCTTTGTAGGAATGGTGAAGTGTAAGCGCAGGACGGACCAACTAAACTAGGCTAATTTTATTTGATAGATATTAACTGATACATCCTTATACTATATAATAGTGTTTTATATTCGTTTAACAGGCTTGCTGAAACAAACGATCATTATAATTTTATTTCTTATTAATATAATAATGTACTGAATATCAATGTACAGAAAAAGTAAATAGAATAGGTAATTATAATTGAGATGGCATGATAACATTAGTACGGGAAAGGGTGTACATAATTAGGCCTCCAGTTTATGAAGAGAGCCAATTTTAATACAAAAACCCATAATATAATCCATTAGAAGCAATGAATGCGCTATAATCACTTTAGAAGTAAAAATAAGCTTCATTATCTTATAATCAGTACCTACTTAATATAAGTATCTATTGGTTATATGAAAACCAATCAATGCAAAAATTGCTCAAGTACCCATATTAATGATGTAATAAAGGGTTATTGGCTACAACTACAAATATCTAAGCACTATTTGAATCTGCTATAGTTCTCTATAAAATCACAAAACAGTTATGAATCAAAAACAATTCAGGACCGGGAATGCTCTGAAGTGTATCAATACTTCAGAGCATTCCCGGTCCTGAATTGTTTTACAAGCTATATCAATAGCTTGTACAAACCGCCATGATAAAACTTCATAGCTAACGGAATGTTTAATTCACTATCGATTGCATTTAACTATTTACCACTACTTTACTATTATATACTCAACAATAATAATTAAATAAATTAAATTAAAAAATAATAATTAAAAAAAATCAATTTATGTCAGCTATTTTTTACATATTTTATTAGGATGCTATTAAACAAATTAAACAATTAAAGAAAATATCCATATTCTTTAACTACAAGTAAGAGAACACTACCAAATGACGTGAAAACCTTCGTATTTATTATTAACTCATGGACGTTTTGGCTATGGCTTCACGTTCATCGATTCAATGAGTTTAATTATTCGCACACGCTAAAATCTTTCTACATTGTGATTCGTATTCCACCTTTTAGTTATCAACTTAGACTTAAGAACGATGTACAGCTCTTTACGGCTGTTTAGACTGAAACAATCCAAGTTTGGTCATCCTCTCGTTGTCTGCGTCAGCGTCGTAGGTTTTATAGAAATCGGCGTAGGCCTGCTTGCGTGGTGCAGCAACCAGAACCTGCAACGACGTGATAATAAGATCACGTATAGACTGTAAAATGGAACTTCGTCTGTAGTCTCTCATACAAGGTGAATAGATATCTAAAATCGTTTATATTTTACAAGCTGTGCGACAACGGAGAATTGATAAATAGCACAAAGAAGTAAGACTCTGTTAATGTGGCAACTTGATAACACGAGAAATCCTACCTGCCATGCCGCCGCAGTAGCCGAAGAGACGGCAAGAGCGATTAAAAGATGTTTGCGAAGATGATCCTTCAGCAGGCCATGGAACTTTGCGGGTGCAGCCGACATCGTCTTTTCAGTTTACTTAGCTGCTATAAACTTTCCATCAAATTAAACATTAAAAAAAAGGTAGTTTTAAGGAAATTTAAGATATCGTTTAATGTTACTATTTAATGAATTTTAGGGAAACCATTACACACTTTAATGATTTTGCAGATTATAGATTATTTATTGATAAGTTGCTATTGTTACATTAACTTTTACTGTAAACATACCCAACGTGGGCAAGATGTAACAAATGCAGTTAGAAAGCCCGCACTCCAGCTGACGCCTAGAGATTTTTTACATTGTGATTAGATTCTGAATTATAGCTCCTTGCGCGCATTCATGGCTAAAAGACGTCACATTTTATTTACTAACGAATGCGCCTGATGAAACAAAGATTCGACTATACTTAAAAAACAGTGACTTCAAAAATCAAAAAAGCTTGTTTATTTCGAGAGTTTTTCTACCGCCGCAGTGAAAGTCGAAACCACCTCACTACCTTTAAGCGCATAAGACGGCCCCAGTCTTCGTTAAGGTGCCCTTGATCGTACAGTGCTAACGTGTTTGGCCCCTAGACTAAAGGAAACGCGGTGGTCTAGGTTCGAAACTAAGTAATGCTGAATGACGATTCCGGACATAAAACCGGAATTTTTTTTCTAACTTTTGTGTACATCGAAGACACAAAGCGCGATAATAACTGCATTACTATGAAGTTCAGTATGCAATATTTACGATTTATGATCTTGGTCAAAGTTTTTGTATTCCAAAACATCACTTATAAATAGCTTTTCATAGAACATTTATCAGTACAACTTCTCTTTTGAAGAAATATGGACTCATGCACAGTTGAATGGAAACATGCAAAAATCACCTAAAGTCCTTCAAAAGATCAGCTACCTTCTGATTCGGAATAGATGATCACCTCTACAGTTTGCAGCACTGAAAATGTTGTGTCGTTACAGGAGAAGAGTACAGAGGTCAAACTTAAGAGTTTCGAGAGATAAACTAAGTCTGTAAGGGCAAACGAGTGATTTAAAGCACCGTAGAACTTCGCCGTTGGGGTCTCACACTAGCGCAGTTCAATCTAGACGACTTTACCACCGTTAGCGGAACACACTAAAATTAGTACCACAAATGTTCCAACTTAGTGCCAAATTTGATTAAATCAAAAAGCTTAATCAATGACATGAATTTTGTCCAACAACTCTGATAATTCGTTCGCATTGTATCTAAAAATATGCGATTGTTTAAGAAGCTTCCTTGAATAGAATATTGAACAGGTAAAGATACTAGTCCAACCTGTACATGATTCTTCTCTCTTTGCTGCCATAATCGAAAGTAAACTGCTACATTTCGAGTTTCCAACCTCAATAGGTCCTTAATCAAACGTAATCCATTACTTAGCAGTATAAACTAGGCAATTTAGAAGAATTCGCGCGAAAGGTCCGACCGCCGACCTAGCTGCTGAATATACTGACACCGTATCACAGTCGTATCACGCCGGTGCATATTTTCCAGTTGTTTTCATTGTGGCAAGCATTCACATTTTACGGCGCCACATGTTCCGGGTCGGCGAATAGGCCGAGGCAAGTCGGCTCTCTTTCTGTTTACTATCCCTGTTCCAACGGAGAATCGCATAGATCATTGTTGCTGATTATCCAGCACGAGCTGATTAACTACTCACACCAGATAGTCCAGTCGATTAGTTCTTGTCCTGTGACACGAACGAGTGAGGAAACGGAGAACCCAAACGGGCCAGATAGCCAGAAAAAAAGCAACAACATCGTCTGTGTGTTTGTCAGATACGATTCGAATGTCACCCAATCACTTGGTTTAGCACTTCGATTGAGCTGTGGTAGCCGTCTTTAATAGGAATTACTGGGCGGGCGCGAAGTGACTCCCATAGCACGCTACCTGCCTAAATGCACAGAATAACGGAGCATAGCAGAGTCTTCGTGTAACCGCCATCATTAGTACTAGCAGGACCTGTGTGTCGTCTACTAACTATTACGACTACTAGTGACCGCTAAAGGCTTCAGCTGCTATAACTAATGGTGCCTCACTGACTGTAGTAGTTCGTTGCCGGCTTACCGTTGTTGTGCCGAACAGCAAAAAGCCGAAAAATTAAACCAACGGCGACCAGGTTGCTACTGCAGAGGGAGAGAATAAAAGTGAGAGCTGGTTCGTCTGTTTGTGTCTTTGTGCTGCTGCTGCTGCTGCCGGCGGCCGTCGTAGTTGTGCGGTAGTGTGTTGTTGGTTTGCTGTGTGCCGGTAGTGTCTGCTGCCCGTCTGCCACGTTTTGTACTTTGCTGCCTTATATATTATAATAATTTCTTCTTTTTCACACTCTGCCTGTTGTGATACCGTGGACTAGTTCTACGTTTCAACTGCCCTCCTATCTGCAGTAGCTACAAGTGCCGATAATACTTTTTGCCACAATTGTGGCTATTAAGTAACATCTGTTAATCAAGATAAAATCATTGCACTAAAACACTGAGGCAGGTGGAATCGTTGGTTTAGTTGGAGCGGAACCACGGCTGCTTAGCAGCAGAAGTTCACTTAGTGTTCATAGTGTCGTTTGATTAGGACGAAATAGAAAAAAGCGAACAGCTTCGTTCGTTCGTTCAAAGAGCCTTAAAATGGAGGAGACTAATGCAGATCGTAATGTTGAGATTTGGAAGATCAAGAAACTCATCAAAAGTCTTGAAGCAGCAAGAGGGTAAGGCAACTTCACCTGTTTTGCAAACGTACTCATCAGCCATTGCAGTTCAAATGCGAAAGATCATACGTAATAGTGGCAAAGTTGTGGACTTAAACATATCATTCTCTATTCATACGTCTGTTAGGTGTTTATGGGCGCCTCCTGCCTATATTTGTTGCTGCATACATAGCTATGTTAGTGGATAGTTTCTAGCAGGTAAAAAATTGACAAAACACGAACGTTGCTGCTTTAATGAAGTTAGCCAGGATCGTTATGCTTATTTCTGGGTTTGCGAACAAACGATAATCGACGCGATACAGCGGCATGTTTGTGAATGTTTGTAAATGATGGCGATGCGAATGCCACTAACCACCGACACAGTGCGGGACCGCCCGGCATCCGTCGTCTGTCCGCCTGTCATGCGATAAACGATTGCAGTACAACGGTAAAATAATGACGATCTTACGTGTGTAGTCGGCCTACTAACTAATTTCCCATATGCTTAGAAAAAGGCAGTCATAAAATTTCTAAGTAAGTATATATGCGATAATAAGTCGCACAGAATTCTTTTATCTTCATATTTGATGTATTCAAGCGTCTTTATTGGAAAAACTGGATCCACTAAAGTGGCACCAATGAGTTTTAGTGGAAAATTGGGTGGAACCTCCCTGCAAGTTATTGATACAAGGCTGGATGATCTTTAGCTATTTCTGGGTACAATGTACATTTTATAAGTGCTTATTGTTCTGAGTATAATTGGCTGTGGTTGCATGAAATGGATCTATGTAGCAAATTACTGTGGTACCAATGTCTGGATTACTGACACAACAATGTCACAAATGTAGTAGAATATTTTTGTAGAGTTCCCTATTACTATAGAGACGAGGACAAATTTGTTCTTGTTGTAAACCGGAGCCGCATCCTGAGCACTGAGCATATGGTCCATGAATGGCTGTTTTATAAAGTAAAGATGAACGGGCCTTGGCACTTGGCCGGGCCGACCAGAGCGGTTGCTTGCTCCATCGATTTGTCTCCAAATCTAACAGAGCTTGCCAGAGGAAATCCCCATTGACATATCAGAATCTCCTCAAATCTCTTCCACAATAATTGTACCTAGACTGATACATATGGACTCAGCATAGTCAATATATTATTAAACTAATTATTATTAACTAGTAAATCATCATGCGCTTTATAGGTATTTTTTTTTGCAAATTTCGCAGGTTCCGTTTTGTTCACCTTTACATCTTTTATTCTTTAAGGAAAACCTTAACAAATATATGTTTAAAGGTAAGAATAGTGCAAAAACAAGTTGTTGCTGTTGACTTCTATTGATGTGTACTTTAAAGCTGATATTATAATGATCACACACACACACACACACACGTCCAACTTACCTATAAGCTTGTTGTTAAGTAGCTTTGGAACGGTACAAAAGTTGAACAAAAGGGCTTGAACTGTCGTCAGCTTATTATAAAACAACGCACGTCGTTCATGACACTTCACTGACGTTGTTTTTATGCATTTGCGTTTGCTTCTCTTAGTAAAACATTTGTTAGATATAGCAACCAAACAATACAGCGAATGCGCTTCAGTTTTGAATGAATTTATTTTCTTAAAGTCAAATTAACGGTTTCTTTTGCACAAGTAAGGATATATTTCAAGTTATGCTTACAAAAACAGGAGAACGTACAAATAATTTGTCGTTGGAGGCAAGTGCAAGCAAGAACTACAGTACCTAGCGTTGTATTTTGTTAAACAATGCAATAATAATGAGGATACATTCATATAAATAATATTGGCAATTTTAGGTTGTTTAGTGTCACACGTGACATAGTAACATTTTCAGACGCTGACTTTTTTTTCATCGACTAGGTTTGGGGCACAAAGGTTTCAAGTAGCAATTTCGATGTTTGGTTCAGATTTCTACAGTTTTTTTATTCTGACGTTACCGAAATTTTGAAACAAAATGTTAGTCTGAAAGAACAATATCTGGAGAGTATGAGGATAGCAGGGAGCTTCCAACTACAACTCTTGAAGTTTTGCTATCGTAATTTTTGTAATAGGAGTCGTTTACCTCTGTTCGTTATTCTTGGCTGCTGACTGCTGAGTTTTTTGTTGCTTCTCCAATCGCTGACAGTACACTTCACTTGTACTACTCAGTACTATACTCGCATTATATTACGTAATACGCGTAATCCTACGTATATTAGGACCAATGAAGCTGTAATGCACAACATTTACATTGAGTCGCCAGAGAAGCGCCATAAGGTTTTGTAATTGTAAATTGGCTTAGGGTGATGTCTTGCCGGTTTAGTTATATCCACCCGATACCTTTTCCGATCAGTGTAGAGGATCCACTTTTATCACAAGTCACAATTCGGTGTGAGGTATATGTTGTATCATAACGTTTTGACGTTTGTTTTTTAATCCTCGCATAAGTCATGAGGCACCTAAGTGTTTTACTAATTCGTGTTCCTAATTTGATTGAAGTGAACAGATATTGTATTTTCACATTCATTGAACCTGATAGATAGTACCTGTGCACTTTAAGATCAGTCGGCTTCCACTACAACCTTCAAATCTACATTAGTTACCTTTTGCAGGAAACGTTTCACAAGACCCATCTTCGGGTTCAGAATTGCTTTCCCGGATTGTTTTGAAGTCACGGGTTACGGTGCTTCTGGCCGAATAGTAGGTTTATACGGCGAACTGCCTTTGCAGCTGTAGTTCAAGGATGGAACTCATCCGTAGACCACTCGTATTTTTTGATTTTCTTCAACTCACTACAATAGCCTGCTAAAGGCCAAATGATAGAATAATGAGTGAACGGCCTCGGAATTCAAAGAATACAAACACACCTTGAATAGAAAAAAAAACCTTGCGAAATTCCGCACCGTAATAAAATAGCGTCATCTTGAAATATGAGATTAGTGCTTGTTTTGAAATAATATTGAACTACGTAATTATTTCTATTACTGTTATTATTAATCCGTGTTTGTGACAGTATGCAACCCAACTATATCAAGAAGTATTTCACTAATATACTAAGTTTAATATTAAATCAATAATGTGTAAAGTAAAAGTAAAAAAGAAGGTAAAAGAGTGACTGAACTATGAAACGAAGGTTGACGGAAGTCGAGTGATAGACCTACTGAATACTGGTTTGTACTCATCTTCAGTGTGTCGTTGACGCAAAATCTAGTTTTGTCAGCCCTTAAATGGCTATTTAAAGGAAGATACACAAGCCAACCTATTATTTAAATATCGCATGCTCCATTTACTTTTAATACGTTTACTTATGTACAGCAGCTGAAGTATAACTAGACTCGTAGTGTTCAACGCCCTGGTCCGCCTTTGTTTCGTATTGAGTTGTGTCGTTTATCGTTAATACATTGTCCCTGCTACTGGCTCCTTTTACAGAAATGGCACGAGCATGATTTCTCTGATTATTCCTCCAAAGGATCAAATATCGCGTATTTCAAAAATGCTCGCAGATGAGTTTGGAACGGCATCGAATATCAAATCTCGAGTGAATCGCCTATCGGTACTCGGAGCTATTACGTCTGTACAGCATCGCCTTAAACTTTATACAAAAGGTAAGCACGGATACGCTGCGGACTCGCACAGCTGCACTTCATTTTGCTATAAGAGACAATGCATTTCTCAAGAAATTCTCTTTGTAGTTTATTTTGTGTACAAGATCGGTCTAAATTTTGGAAAGGCTGTCTCAGGTATATCCAGTTAGTCTGCTAAAACGGTTGTACCAAAAGCGCTTACACTAAGCAGATCAGTGCGAACATTACCGTGTCTCTATGAAGCGTTATATGAGTTTAACCAATACACACAACTTCAACACAGCTTCTTTCCTTCTCCACGATCTAAAATCAAACGTTTTGCTGATGACCTGCTTTGAGGATTTTTATTACAGTCCTATTTCATAATTTTAGAACACATACAGTAGAGAGTTTATGCTTTAATATTCCTAAAAATACTATGAAAACGGCTTGTAAATTGCCTCGACGACTTATTACCAGACGAAACCTTTAGTGGATATATTCGATTTCCGGAGTATAATACATAGTAACACCATTTACCGATAATTAATATTCATTACAGAGCGAGTGAATCTGTCCTATATTTTTAAATAAAATACACATATTCTTCATAATTATATAATATATAATACGTTTATCATAATTCAATAAACTAGAAATATGCGTATTACATTTGGAAACGCAAAATCCATCCAGGCCTTTTTTGATAAAAATGTGCATACATACACTCGTCACAGAGCCGGATGCGTGGATGCCGGTATGTTGGACGAGCAAATATTGATTATTTTGTACTTTCTATTATATCTTCGATTGCAGTCCCCCCGAATGGACTCGTGATTTATTGTGGAACGATCGTTACAGAAGAAGGAAAAGAAAAAAAGGTGAGCACTTGCTAAATTATCGTTAGAGCAGCAGCCGCTTTGTTTGTTACAGCGTAACCATTGAGAAGACTCACAAACGATTTAACTGAAAAAGTACTAATATGCCGGTCTATGCGCAGGACCACGTATATGTACATATATTCGTGAGTTCATCTACAGTTTCGCCAAGCGCTCGTCACCCCATCTCCATTCATTCAAGGCAGGTTTTTTCCTACGTTTTAGGTGAACATTGACTTTGAGCCATTCAAGCCGATCAACACATCACTCTACCTGTGCGATAATAAATTTCATACGGAAGCCTTGTCTGCTCTCTTAGCAGATGACAACAAATTCGGATTTATCGTTATGGACGGAAACGGCGCGTTATTCGGTACATTACAGGGGAACACTCGTGATGTCCTCTATAAATTTAATGTTGATCTACCGAAAAAACATGGACGAGGCAAGTTTGTTTTTCTCCTTCGACACTATCTTGCAGTGTGGTTGATTTTTGTTTTAGTACAAAGGCCAAGCCATCCGCAACGGATGGACAGAGAAGCAAAGTCGTCGTACTACTTTCATCGCTGTTGTCTTCGATTTTGCTTGGAGATTATATTATAATCGCCAATTTACAGGAAATAATTGCGCGAACACGATTCTGAAATACTTATTTGCCTTTTTATAAGGACTCCAGGTAATATATATAGTTCAAAAATACCGGAAAAATCTAATACCAGAGTAGATGTAAGAAAATGCCAAAAGAATGTTAAAAGGTTTTATATATTCAGCAATACAACATCGATTTGATTCGCATATAATAAACCGAATACTAAAATGCAAAAAAATATACAATAGTAATAACGCTGAACATAAACATGTAAAAAAATAATAGAATTGATTATCTGTGCTGGCTTGTTAATCATTTTTACAACATATATCTTGTTATCTATTTGATGTGTGATAACAGGAGGTCAATCAGCTTTACGTTTTGCGCGTCTTCGAATGGAAAAGCGTCACAATTACGTGCGAAAGGTAAGTCTTCTATTATTTGCGACGTTATTTGCACTATACTAAATAGAATCAGGTAAATGATAGAAGTATGTAAAAAAAACTTACAAATTTAGCAATTTAATTTAGCAATTCGCTTTAATACTCCTTCGACATTCGAAAAATATATTTTTCAATTTTTTAGTTAGCTTTTATGTTATGTTAGTAATGTTTTAGCACGAAAACGAGCATGCATACATTCACCACTTTCATGCGAAGACAACTATCTTAATTCTAATATATATATATATATTATAATGGTGGTACATTTCATTAATTTTCATGTCTATTTATATCCAGGTCGCTGAGGTGGCGACACAGCTATTTGTGACAAATGACAGGCCGAATGTGGCAGGGCTCATCCTAGCTGGAAGCGCGGATTTTAAAACTGAACTCTCGCAATCCGACATGTTCGACCCAAGGTTACAGGTAAAAATTTACTTACTGTACTAGGTGAAGTTATTTCGGCTGCACCTGAGCGCTCAAAACTGATTCGCACTACGCCACAAGCGTAGTGCGAATCAGAAGGATGAAAGTAGCTCAGAAGTCTCAATATTTAGCGAAAAGTGTCCTAGTGTGCTTTAAACATCTCCGTTTGATCGTTTATATTGAAAAGTAATGAATTTGATTATCATATTTTCAAGATAAAAAGGGTTTTTATGGTGTGTTGGCATGGTTTTATGAAATTTAAGTGTGATCGAAATTAGAAAGTGCGTTTTTATGGCAGAAAGAAGTTAAGGGTGCAGGTATTAACCCATTTAAAAGGAAACAATTTTATATTAACGTCAAAAGTATTAGTCGTAAACAAGAACTACTACTGTGTATGTCTTCAACTACATGTCATTATATTGTGCTTGTTCCAACTTTTCCTTTTTCCTATATTTTTAATATTTTCCTGTATTATTACAACTGCAAATAAAACATTATGATATGTAAAACCTTCTCTTTGTATATTATTATTTGAAATATTGTGGTGTGAATATAGACAAAGGTGCTAAAATTAGTGGACGTTTCGTATGGTGGAGAAAACGGATTCAACCAAGCCATTGAACTGAGCGCGGAGGTCTTGTCCAATGTGAAATTCATTCAGGAGAAAAAGCTTATTGGACGATATTTTGATGAAATCTCGCAGGTACAAAAAATAATATATTTATACATTGAAGGTTTATTTCACTATAATTAGGTTGTTCACTACAACAATTTTATAAATCATAGCCGACCCAATTATACACATGAATACGTTCTAGTGCATCACTATAGTATTTCTCAATCATTATAAGCAATCATATAGAATAAAAAGTTGAAAAACAAAAACTCCAAGGCGTATATTGTAATCGAACCGAACTACCGGCAATCTGAAAGGCTTAGTGGCAGTAGGTCAATAAATATTTCTGAAAATAATTCTTGTCCTAGGTGATTAATTAATTAACCATCATCTGTAGTATACATTCTAGTTGCACTTGAAAGATGACATATGCTTTTTCAGGACACGGGTAAATTCTGTTTTGGCGTGGAAGATACATTAAAAGGCCTTGAAATGGGCGCGGTTGAAATCCTTATTTGCTGGGAAAATCTCGATACTATGAGGTTAGTAATATAGGTTCCCTAATAATATGTCTTATGTAAAAAACGTTTGCCGATGCGGAAAAGTAAATAGCTTAGTCTATATTTTTTGCTGTATGTATTGAGATCTACACGATTAATTTTACGACAATAGAATTGACCGTCTTCGGCGCTTAGCTCGCGGATTACTAAGCCAAGGAGTACAAATGTCGAAGAGATTTCATACTGTTGGCCATGCTGGTTCTAGTGTTCACGAGGTGGCTTGTACGGTCAGGCCTGTGGTTGAAAGGGACTAGGGGTTGCTGCTCCAAGGTCCACCAACGACTTATAAAACATAATTTACATGAAAAAATAAAATTTTATTGCTCTCTATTTGTTTGACACTTAGCTATCAAGGTGCTTACTGGTACACAGCAACCGGATGCTTACGCTTATTTTTCCTTGATTTACTCAGGTACGTACTCAAGAAGAGCGCTACGGAAGAACAAGTGGTTCTTCATTTAACTCCTGAGCAAGAGAAAGACAAGTCTCATTTTGTCGACAAGGAGACGGGAACTGAACTTGAAATGGCAGAGAGTTGCCCATTACTCGAGTGGCTTGCCAATAACTACAAGAATTTTGGCGCAACGCTTGAAATTATTACCGATCGTAGTCAGGAAGGCTCACAGTATGTCAAAGGCTTTGGAGGCATTGGAGGTAATTCTAAATAATAATAACAAATAAATAAATAATAAACAAATAAATACATAAAATAAGCAATGAAATAAATAAATAAAAACTAAACTAGAAAAACGCAGGTTATCATATGTAGGAACGAAACCCGCGTTTTTTCATGTTTTTATTAACGTTAACTCATTTTAGACATTGTTAAAACTCTTTCTTTAGAGAACATATTCGCTCTATAAGAGGATGTCAAAGGACATCTTGATTTTACAATATTAATAATTATGATTACAATTTAAAAATACACGTATTTGCTATCTTGATCGATAACACCTTTTTCAAATGTCATGTATCCGTCCAGGCTGTAATGATAATCTTATAAGTTGCTTAAAAATGCTACCTTGAAAGTTGAAAGTTAAAGTTATGCGCCGTGTGTGATGTTTCAGGTATCCTTCGGTACCGTGTGGACTTTCAAAGTCTCGAAGCCAATGAGTTGGACGATGAAGATTTTGATCTTGACGATTTCTAAAATGATTCTGGTGATTCTGTGAATGAGCGCTAACCGTTGTTGTTTGTTCGCATTATTTTCCTTCGGCGGGTCTAGCAGGAGATTCGTCAGCAAAGATGACAAACGAATTCATAAAATTACAATGAGTAACAAAGAGACAGTAAGAATAGCTTACTGATTGAATTACATTTAGTTGACACAAAGCCAACTTGTAAAGTGTATGAGCGGATGCCGAAGCCGCACTTGCTTGCAGACAGGGCAAAAATTACAAAATAACAACGAGAGTGAAGCTGGTACTGGTGGGGGGAACAAATATACGGCTGCAAAAAAAACACCTTACTCAGAACACAAACACACAGTCACGCGCTTGCACACATAAAGAGGAAATAAAAACTGAAGTATAGAAAGAGCAGCCACACGAAAATAGGACTGTGCTATTTTGTATGCTAAATGAAAAACAAAACTCTGAATATGATCATGACGATATAATTAGATGACAAACAAGCTAACAAATATACTAGAAATAATAGTAGCTTATAAATAAGATCATTTTGATTATTTACAAATAGTTATTTAACCTCTGTAGTATAAATTATTATAATTATTACTATTATTATTATGACAGTTATTCGTGTATTTGTTTCGTCTAACTGGTGGTGGTCGTTTGTACTCTTCTACGTTTACCCCTGCCAATGTCCTGCCACCCGGAATGCTATCAAAGTCACCATCATTATTATTATTGAGGATTATGATGATGACGAACGATATTTGGCGGCTGCGAGAGGTCGAGTTGGAGCCAGAACAAGTTTCAGTCTGATCAATGATCGTTTTATCGGTCGTCTTGCGCTAGTATTTATCGTTAAAATGAATTCATATTATAACTGTAAATTTGAAAAAATAAAAAGAATGTTCCAGCTCGTGTCAAAGGGAACATCTTTGGATTGGCAGACATTTTCACCGTTACATATAACGTTTTTTTTTCATTTTATTCAATCCTATTATAACATATGCTATTCTCTCAGCCCAAAGTATTTTAGATTGGCAATTGGATGTAAAAAAAGGTACCATCCTGTTGATATCGGCCGGTCAAGTAACTCTGCCTGCTCATCTGGATACTCCCGGCTGATTACGACTGAACCAAATTACAGCGAACGAACTTTGAATACTTTTCTTAGGACTCAATTATTCCGTAAATATTGATGGTCTATCTGCGATACCTCGATTAGCATTTTATGTATTATTTTGGGTTAAAGTCCCGTACAAAAAAAAGAAGACCGTAAAGGGATTCGTCCTCCTGGGGATTGAAACGAATAATTTTTCCATTGTCTTCATCTTGTTGACAATGGAAAGAAAGCAGCCAATGGTAGTAGCTAAACGTAAAGTGACCGTCAAAGAGTTTACGCCCTTTTACGAGAGATGTATGGGTGTTAATAAAAAAAATTATTTGTTTTTTGTTTTGAAGATAAGTTACTTTTGGTCGTCTTAACTCGACGGATATAGGCACAAAGACCTTGCCGTTCGCCGAAAATTTACACGTCAAATTTGACTTCTCAAAGTTAGATGAATAATAAGTGGAATAATTCAATGCATTTTCTTTAATCACCTAAATCTGAGGTGACTTGTATGACATAGAGTAAGCGGTAGCGTTAGAAACTTGGAATCCAAAGGTCCTCGGTTTTATTCTGGTTGGGCACCTGTAAATCAATGCGGTCCCGTACTTGCAACTTAGAAGAAAGTAGACTATTATGCTTTATATAATCATACAGTCTTTAAGAAGCTAAAAAAGCATCCAAAAGTAAAGTATGATGGTGAAACGTATTTCCGCAGTTTCGTTCCTAGTACGTGACCATACCAACCCGGAGGCAGTTTAATATCTTGGACAGGGGTGTAAATTTGAATAACATCATAGAACTAAGGATACTCGTTTTAATTCCTGATAAGTCTTCAAAGAATTGTGAATGACTTAAAAAACACTATGTTAATAAGTGATTCAAAGAAAGGAAAACACCTGGCTCATCTTTGCACAATTGTACAGAGTACGAATCCGTTAGATTAGGCTTACAGAGATAAATGGGTGTAATTGAGTGCCGTAAGATAAAATGACTTGAATGATCAAAATATGAACTAGCAATGGGTGTGTGTATGCTCCATATAACTACATGGAGTTACTAATGAACTAAAACAGAGAACCAGTGGAAACAGAAAAAAACGTCATTTGTTCTGATAAGAGAAAGTGTCGAAGATTTACAATTTTTTGTTGGAATTATTGCAATGCAATGGTAATAATGGAGTCATTGTAATTATTATATTCCTTTGTGGAAAGCGGACGGTTGGCAGCACTTAGCGAAACTCAGAATAAGCAAGAAGCAGATAGTCGGTAAACAGTGCTCTATTGTAGAGTAAAACCAATGACTGGCCAGAAGAAAATAGATCCAAGTTATCAAGTTTCGCATACAGTTTATTAATAAAGGTGCAATAGAGGTCTTGTAGGAACTTCCTCAGAGTCAATTGTGTTCTTATTATAACGTTAGTGACACACTAGGTTCATTTTTATCATTTAGCTTCCTTTTTGCATTGCACTCTACCGTTTGTTTCAACCTGTATTTCTTGCTGTACGCCAGTAACGATCACTAAGAGTCTGGGATTATACAAAGAGCGCACATTTTCTACTATATGCACGTTGAGAGTTGTTTTTAAGCAACAAGCACCCACAGAGCAATCCAGAGAAAACACATCTATCTTTACTAACGTGGAGTCGATTCTAATCTACTACAAATATAAGTCATTTCTATGTACTAGAAAGAGTAAATTAATTCAGATCATTGTAAGTGTAATGATATCAAAACGTGCGAAAAATATTTGTCTTTACGGTTCAAGGTAAAAGATACTGAGATCGTATTATTCTGTATTCGGGTATAAGCATAAAGTAAGCGGACATGGCGGAGTTACTCTCAAAATTATATTCCCAAAAATAAATCCGTTTCAAAACAAACTATTTTAACACAAATATGACGAGATGGAATAACCAAAGGATGCCGATTTACATGGAAATATGAATCGAGATTCTATTAGCTTTTCAAGTTTTACGTGTATGTAGTTGCCAAAACGCTGTAAAAAGCCTTCTAAGTTGTAACACTGACAGTACTCAATAAAGTGTTACTTCCCTTGAGTGATTGCAATGTGCCCAAGAAAAAAATAATTTTGGTAGGTCGTGCGTAAAACATACTCTCCCTCTTTCGTTTTAAATAACAGTATATTATGATACTATTTTCTTTAGTTACTTTTATCTACTGCTACCGTTGCTGAAATAAACAAAAGAAGAAAGTGTTGTTGCTGGTCTGCCTAACGACTTCTAAGGTCTGTTCAACTGAGTTGGTTCAGTCCAGAGTTCACCTATTAAATCTAGGGCACACATACAACCCAGTTCGTGTTGGGAACGGGTCGTTTAAAATGATGCTTAATGGCACATGTAAATGTAAGGCTCAAAACATTGATTTAAATTACTTAGTCAGCTGGCGTTGTTGGTTTCATCAGTGGAAAGGGTCTTATGATGTTGTGTGTCCACACGACTACAGTGCTTCCGCAGCTATGGGAAACATATTTTCTAATGAAGCGCAACACAAATACTAGGCAACAAACGAAGAGCATGTTTGGATAGACAGCCGTCGTCGTATTTGTTATGTATTTGTTTAGTGGTCTGTGGTATAAGAGTGCACTGGCACTGCTTTGGTGCGGTGTTATTTTTATTATGATAATGGCTGTGGTGGTGTCGTTGTTGTTGTTTTGATGAAGGGAGAGTGTGCACTCATTTCGTGAACCAGAGAACTGCCGTGTCGTGCATTAAGTGTCTAGTATATTGGTCCATATGCGTGAACACTAGGCGAATATGTAGCGGATTGCATTTCTGAGGAATAGCCGTGCATGATGAATTTATATGATTGGATGGTCAAAAACAATTTTATCAACTACTACAGATTTCATTGTAGTAAGTGTCAGTTAAACCAGCGGACCTCTTCTTGTGGTACAATATACTTCTTGGTAGGTAGAACTCATTTTTGGATTTTGCTTCCCTCTGCAGGCAGACGATTCTGCAGATTGTGGCAGTCTATTGGTGGCAATCATGTACTGCTGAGTAGAGGTTTTCGGTTGTCCAGTCGGCTTACGGTGCTGCTCGATGGTTTGCCCGCTTTGCACAACTGTCTGCTTCGTTAAATTTCGCAAGGCAAAGTATAATAGATTAATGGTTGTTGACAGAAGAGTTGTTAAGAACAAAACAGTCCGTCCAGCATCTTCCGACTAGACCCTTGTCTGCAAAGGCTGAGAGTCTAAATAGTTTTTTAGTTACAATTTTTGCAGTCGATCGTTTAACGGCAATGCGAATTGGGTTCAATATTTCTAGATTTAATTAGAGCAACATGTGAGTCATTGTAGTACTTGTGTGCATAAATAAAATACGAAACGGCTAGACGAGCTATATAAAAGAAGGGGCCTTAGGATTATTTCTTCGCGCTTTTTACAGGTTGGTTATACATTATTATACATTATTACATTAATTATTATTCATGAATATTACCAATGCTTGATAATATTCTTGAATAATAATTAATGAATTTAGTTGTAATAAGAAAATTGTTTAGTCACTGGATTTTCGAACTGTGACGAAATATGATCGGATCTGTTTGAAAGGACGCCGGAAGAAATGGGCGTACTGATGCATATATTTTTTTAGTCTAAGTTGTTTCCAATTGGTCGGTGTATTTTGTAGCTTCTTGTGAATAGGGATAAGAATGAATGACTCAGTGGCCTTCTTGTTGATCGAACTGCATTTTTTGTCCTTCTAAAGGTACATCCAATAGGCAAGATTTCAATGGAAAGTTCTCGGCCATGATAGTAGGATAATAAAAGAAAACTTATCCAGTCACCTACTTGACATTACGGCGCTAACTTAATTTAACAGATTTAGACAATGCTTGAAGTGGCTTGGATTGTGTACAATAGCATTAAGAATAATCAGCTAGGTCAAAGTCGTGGAATACAAATTACTGACAATTAGTTCTTAATTAAGAAGATGAATTTACTGTTTGCTATATAAATTTATGTATCTACTTTTACGAATGAGCTTGCTTATGTTTCAATAGCTTTTATGTAGGATTGCACTAAAAACAGTCGCAGAAGCAGATAACGAAAATGACAAAAATGCTTTAACGCATCCCTATGACCTTAGTTAATGACGTCGCATTGAAGCCTTCACCAGATAACGGCATTCAGCTACCACTTCAAGACCCTAGCGTAGATATATATATATACATTTGGGTTCGGTTTTTTGGGCGGTAACCGCTACTGGGGACCGCGCGTAGCAAGTTACCCGGATGCCGGTCTGCCGAGCTTGTGACAGCGAAAACAGCTACAGACAGCGATGATGCTAGCCGCAGCGTTCGCTTCACAGCGTTAGCTAGCGACACAGAAGCAAGTAATTGTTTTCATTGTAGTGGCAGTATCAAGGTCGAAGGACAGCTTCGAAGCTGGTCTCGACCAGCAAAACCCAGACTCTCTTAGACGCACAGACTCACGCACGTACAGACCCAATGACTGGCGTCTTTTTTCCTCTAGTAGGAGAAAGATTACCTCTACTGACGCTTTTTTTTTTTAGATATCTCTGTGTCGATGTCTACTCGTGTTTTTGTGGATGTGCGTATAATGCTGAATCTCGCCTACGTACATGTTTGTCATGACAAGAGTTAAGATCAAGATGTGTACAAAAATGAACAGAAAGAGAAAACGATGCCGATATTTTTCTTATTTTACAATTTCATTTTTATTTATTTAACAGTCTAATGGAAGGACAAATTTTGCAGAAACAGAAACGAGCTTGGACGGTGTTCGAAAATTGTCCTAAATACTCGCTTCGGCGATGTTAGGAATGGCGCTATTTCGAAAGGAGTTAAATTATTTTTGAGCACGTACTGACCAGAGACGCGCCGCAGAAATTTATCGTTAACCTAGTTATCTGTTTGAAAGACAATGCATTCAATAAATTGCTCTGCACAATTTTCGCAAATTCATGCGACTTTAATGCATTGTCCTATTTGGTTATTTATCTTCTATCAGGATAAGCTAGGCATTAGCTACATAAAGTAGTATCATCTGACGTTTATTGAGTCAGTTTAAATGTTTAGTAATTTGAGCATATCCAACCCATCTTTAGAGATCTTTTACTTTATGTAGTATGCAATTCTAAGCGCGGTGCGCCGGAACGGCAAGCATCTCCACGATACTGTCGAATGATTAAACATGTCTCGTTTCATCGTGTTCGTTTTCTCTCTGCCCGCTTAGCTGGTTGTAAATGGCCCGAGAGAAAAAAGGACAAATTTCTAGGTAAGTCCGCGAAGAAATAATGCCTATATTCCTTAGTAATGATAATGACTGTAATTGTTGTGATGGCGGCAAGAAAAAAAAAGACGAGCGGCACGCAACATGGTAGCTCTCTGATGGCTAAGGCGTATTTTTTTGTTGCTCCTACAACGAGCGGAGTACAATGAAAAAAAGAAAGAATAAGCGCTATATCATAGGCGACAACGTCGACTTAACTATTCAGAGAGGAATCGATCATCATTTTTAGGGAACAAAAATTAGGAATTCTAGACGAGACACTAAAAGCTATGCTATTAAGGCTTCGCCGATACCATCTCCGATGATGAAATAATAGTTATCTATTCATATCATCGTCAGAATCGTTTGAATTTGTATGTAGCGAAAGCTCTGAATCTCTCTCATTTTTTTAGATGGCGAATATGGTTGTAATTTATGGTTAGAGCATCGATCCTTAAGATCTTATTATATACTAATAGTATCGACAACTGGTGCAAAATATCAGTGAAGTTCTTGACTAACAGTAATTGGTCTACTTTGAAAGTGAGAGCAACATCTAATAAAATAAAGCTTTATTTGAGATGAAAATGAATACATTGAATTAATGCGTACTGGAGCCCGGCATGATATACAGACGTGAATAAATTTATTTATTGACCTTTTTTTTCGCAAGAAAGGACCGTAGGAAAAGTTCGTAACGTAACGTGTCTTATTAAAAAAAAGAACACAAGTTTTAATAAGCTCTAATGTAACGTAGTATTTTCTTTTTTAACGTATTAAACGCTTGTTCTAGTAACTGTTTTTCAATTCCTTAAATGTATTATACGGCGAGCTTCCCTATTTTGTCCACCGACGTTTACTGTCAAGAAATAAACTTCACTGGATTAACACATTAATCTGAAACCTAAGCTCAGAAATTTGGCAATTGAGTTACAAAGCATGATTACTTAGATGTTAAAGGTTATATTTCTATGGACAGATTTGATACGACACCGTGTGGTACAGCGGTTAAGCATTGCTTAAGTAGGCTAACTCAGCAAGACCCTAAGCTGCCGCATGATTAGGCTATATGATTTAATTAAGACGTAATAATAAGAATATTCGTTAAATAAGACTAATAAAAAAAGTCTGCATGTCCTTGCAGGATAACGGATGTATCTTTACATAAGCCTAAACGTATCTTAATACCCTTAAAACAAGTAGTACTTATACCGTCTTAGCTTAGTAATCTTAATTGAATTGGGTCACAGCACGTCCACCAGCCTTGGGCATGCAAGAAAATATAAGTAAGTTTTATTAAGATAACTATATGTCGAGTTTAAGCGACTGTCGAAGAACTAAATTGCGAACAATGCATATATTAAGTGTATATATAATATAAATAATGTCAGCAATTTATTTCACTCCGTACGGTAATTAGTTTAACCGTTGTGTGCTGATTAGTGACCTGTTGTATACTGTGGCACGCGAAATTTTCGTGCATTTAGATAGTGCTCATTAGAGAAAATCGTTTTACTTCTAAAAGTAGAATACCCCAACTGCTTTTACTATTTTATGATTTGTTCCTTTCATTCTTTGTCCCCTAATATGCTACAATTACATTGAGCCATATCGATGACACACCGTGACCTGTCTGAACTTGCCTATGCAAGAGCAGACTTCTTCGTCTCGCATCGTAGTGCGTGCAGGCGCATTTTTGGTGTGATAATTCTTAAACTAAGTTACAGAAGTATCGTAAATAAACTGACCTCAGCTGCAAGTTCCTAGTCTAAACACTTCAAAAGAGGAGAACGTAGCATAAGCTGAAATAGCTAAAACCGCCTTACATTAAAGTAGTAACAGAGAATATATCAAAACGCATATTATTATTCGACATGCCTTGGGAATCAAAAAGCGATATCAACATGTACTATCAATTTCTATAGACCTATTCGTGGAATGCAACCAAATACATTGTTGAACTTCGTCTGTACCTGAGTAACCATACATATTCTGTGGTATAATTGATTTTTAGTCTATATCTAGTTTTTCGTGTTTTAATGCGTAGCCAACATTGCTCATTCATGACAACAACTGTACGTGAATCTTTGTCGCAAAAGCATTTTCCAACGTTGCGAAATATAGCTAAAACATTGCCTTGTGAGCATTATGGTTCTGGAGCCGGTATATTTTAAGATTTTGTTAATCCCAATGAACTTTTAGTATATTTTAGTATAATAAGTATATTCATTAAAGACAACGACTATGCTGCGTCATTCAACAATGGTTTAAATGATAACCGAAAAATAAGCACTCTTTGTCTTGTTTTTGATACCAATGTCATTGTGAATCAATCGTTTAGGCGATTTTTTCTCGCATGGAGACACTTTCACCCTCAGCTGATTCAGCACGAGCGCGTGGATGATAATTTGAAGGCTAGTCATTAGCAAATCATAGTCAAGATGCAAACGTATTCGTCAGAGGAACATACCAAGTGTTTGTTTGTTGATTCCTCGTAAACTGTAGCGTCTGCGTTCAAGTTATAGAAGTTGAAAGGCATGCACGTTTCTTATTGATTTTCTTTGCCTTAGATGTACTTTCGAAAGTAAGGTACACCAATATTCCATGCATGCGTAAGTAGCTTTTTTGTGCAGGCAAATAAAGTGCGGTGATAGTGCAGCTGCTTACAGGCAACTACTTGCCTGGTGAATCTCGTGATGTACTGATCTCGGTTCGAATCCGAGCGTAGACACACTTGATTTTTTTCTGGAGCCGCCCATCTGAAGTAATGCCTAGTGGCAAGTGTTGGACGGAAAACACAAAAAAACTTTCTCGTGTCGTGGACGGGACTCGATGTAGGGACCCCTGGCTTTAGTGCCGACATATGCTAACCTTGGTGCCTTACTTTGCTATACTGTGTCAGTTTATGTAGACATATGCCTTTCCTTACTCCGTCATAATATACGTTTTTAGCAATTATTTGTGTTGTTTCCCAGAACATGAGAAAGCAGGAGCATGTCAATCACCTCGATTTCAGTTCAATTAATTATGCTTTCTTTGCATCTGTGTTTGCTTCCATAATTGTCTGGTATTCGCACGCCGCGGTGAATCCATTAGACTACATCTGTGAAAAACGCACAACAAAGTTTACATGTAAACTAAATACCTAGTCTTCTGAGTTGTTGAAGATATTAGGTGTTCACTGCTGGCCATGTCTTTTTTAATAGATATTGCACTGGAAAACACTTACGTGCACCTAATACTATCGTAATAATGAGTATCTAAAATGAAGCTAGGAAAGCTGAAATTTATACATTGATCTTGTAAAAAAAAAATAGCTCTTACGCAGAAGTTAATTTGACAGTAGCTTGAGTCTCATGTTTTGGTGATTAAAATTACAGTTGAATACCCGGCCGAATAGCAAAAATAATCGAACAGCCGTTTTCAAATACAGTTATTTGTCTTTTTAAAGCAATTTCTCTTTCATGTAATGCCTAATGGCGGTTTCAGACATAATAGTCAAAGCATTTTTTTTAAAACAACTGAACCATTTATTTATGGTGCTCATAAACTTAAAACAATATGTAGTGGACATGTAGCACAGTGAGTTATTGTTATTTTCGGTTGGGATTATTCAGGATTTGTCCTATAGTTTGTCTAGAGTTGACATTAATCAAGCGATAACATACTAATCTGGACCCGAAGAGCCGTACAGGGTTCTTCCTTTACCGGGTTGAAAGACCCACCAGATAGTGAATGAATCCTGAAACAACTTCAAGGGCTGTGAGATATATAACAACTAGCCTACCTCTCTGCGGGCACGACTAGTTCTAAAAGATTTCCATCAGATACAACTAGTGCTCTATAGAATGTCTTCCCATAGTGCCCGGACCATTTGTTTTAATATCAGAATGAAGAAGCCGTATGCCTTAGAAGCATCTAACTCAGCTGCTTTTCGGGCTTCATGTCTGTGTTTCTATGACCACGCTAGGCTTATGTGATCTTCCACAATGGCATCCGAATACTGGAACCGAAAGACTCGGAGTGCAAAATCTGATATCATGCAGAGCTTTTTACTTCGACTAGAACATTTAGTAAACCGTCTCTAGAAGAACGTAATCGTTTGAGTACTTTGACCCTGCTCGGCCTCGCTGTAGCTTATTTAATATATTTTGCAAGACACTGAACCCAATAAAGAATCCTGTTTTTACATATAGAGCAGCAATCTCTTGACAGCTTGAGTCTTCATTTTATACCTGTTTAAATAGAAGGAGAATAAAAGGTAGTAGTTAATGGTAAGTTAAAGAAGTGTAATAAATATCAATGAGATGCTCTTTGTCTATAGTGTTTGGTAGAAGTTATAACTGCTTGATTCAGCCATTCTTAATTAACAAAGTCATACAGTATAAAGTTTAATCCATTATTTTGAAACATAACAATGGGTAGGTCGCTTTTGACAAAAGAAGCGGTTCACCCATATGCTCAATCTGCCAATAAATTTATCTATCCTTCCTCGCGAGAAATATTTAGGTGTAACGTTGGAGAACTCGTACCGTCAGGCTGTGAGACCCTTTTCATTGTTAAGTGCATGGTCACAATTTTTTTTTGCCGTCGATCGGAAAAAATGATCATTCGTCGGAGCGAGCTCTGGAGAATATCGTGGATGCGAATGAATCTCTGACTCAGACTCTTGCAGAGCAGCTTTCACACAGTTGTTTATGTGCGGCCTGACACTGTTATCGTGAAGAAAAATGACTTTGCTTCGTCTATCGGGTGCTTTTCGTAGTAGATGCAACTGGGCTTGTAGAGACCTTTGTTGATCGTCCTGTACTTCTCGAATATCTTTCAGTGTAAAAAGATACTTGCAGCTCGCCAAACCCAGATCATGTCCGTTCTTTGAGAAAAGATCCGGCTTGGCGCTTGTCGTGTCCTCCGAAGTTCCTTATTCCTTCCTCTGTTTCCCGTTGACATAGACACACCGGTTTTCATTACAGGTATTTTTATCGCACATGCAGTTTTAGGTAGAATAACAAATCTGCACTTTTCTCAGTGCCGGGTGAGATGTTGTTGACAGCTGTTTCGTTGTGCAGTATGCTTAGTCTACGATGCCAATCGACGAGTATCTTCTGGGCCAATTAACGAGCCATTTTGGAGCCTTTATCGGCCTCAGTTAGCCGACCATAATGGGACACGTTCTTTAGACCCAAAATGCTACCCTTGAATTCAACAAACGACTCGGAGCAGTTTTCTCGGTTTAAAAATTCTGTACACGGTAAAAGTGCCCTGCACTGATTAATCAGATTTTTAGCTTTGGAGAAAAACGAATAGCACGTTTTTCATCCGGAAGCTCCTCCTTGGAACTTGCGCTTAATATAAAGTACCATACATTACGGAAAATTACGACACATATAGCCTATTATATGAGACAGCTTGTTTTGCTTACGGAAGAGGGACAACGTTTCCAAACGGTGTACACATCCCAACGGACAGTGGTGAGGAAAAGTGCAAAAAAAAATAGCTTTTACTCGTGTGGTTGAAATTAAAAAAAAAGTCAAACAGGCTAATGAATTTGTAATTCTCTTAAATATATTATTCCTGATTTATTTCAGGCGAAGGAAGAAAATCAACTGAACTCGTTCTTCTTTGAGGATAAATATACGTGAATAGCTTCGGTTACGAAAGACGTGCTCTTTATGATACGTTCAAAATTCAAGTCCGAGCGAAAGTTTGTTTCCTTCTACTGCAGTCTGCGGTAATTGAGGCGACTAGTCACTATCGAACGGTGATGCGAACTGCGTCGTCCGCAGAAGCAAATAGTTGCTGTCCGTTAGCGTTTGAACCCATTGAGCCGCCACATTTTCCCGTGCTCACACCTCTTCCTTCCGTCATCTGCGCTCAATCTCTCGTTACAGGTACTACGTAGACAATAACTCTTGCCACCATATAAAGGAACTTAAGAATGCATTGTAAGTCTTGCTTGAAATCTAGATTGTCGAAAATCAATTATACGTAAGTTCTTTTATTCCAACAGGTACGCTGTTGTAAACAACAATTTAAAAGGATTGCGAGTTTTCTTTTAATGCCCTTCGCTCATTTTTTGATTGTGTATGCCTCCTGTGGAGTACAATTACCTTCTTTCGACATATAGCATTTAATTTTAACGAACCCAAGCTCGGCGGTTGGCAAGCAAATCAAGCAAATGTAGCAAGCAAAATGTAGATGAAATCTACTGCCCATTTTTTCCTAAATTAAACAACCGCAGCGCAGTGTTTCAACACACGCATTATAGATGCTTTATTATGGCTTTATTCATAGTTCTTGAAATGTATCAAGTTGTTTGTCCTGTTGAAAATTGTTCTTCTGTGCGTGAGTATTGAGCTTTGTAGCTGAACTTAGTTTTGTTACTAGTGATATAGAAAAAACACTAAATGTATTTTTTTTCCGGTGTAGGACAATAGTGTGTGGTCCATGACCAACCAATTAAAGCCCTCCAATTGGTTGGTCATGGATTTTTTTTCTAACAAATTTATCCATGCCCTTATGGACATAAGGGCATGGATAAATTGTACGTCATATATGACGCAAGATGTACATACTTAAGTGAAAATAATAGGTAATGTAAAACTGCTGTAATTAGGTTTCTTTACCTGACCAACAAGATTCCGTAATAAATATTAATATGGTTATGGCTTTATTATTTACTACACCTCCAGCTCGTAATACACGTAATTGTTTTTAATTAATCAACTGACCAAGTGGCTATGCTCGTGCAGTGTTTATCATTTACGCTTTGGCGACAAGTTGTGTATTGCGTAACAACAACCGGCAAAATATGTCGAAAACTATTAGACACAATTCTGGGTAGAGCAATTCTTGAAATTCGGTTTCATTCGTACGGTACGTATGTATGTATGTATGTAGACCAGAATCAACGGCAGTCATTACGTATCGCCAATCAGCCGGTAAATTCATTCGTAGACGACGTACGAGATGCGGCAAACGGTCAGGGCAATACATCAGAAACACAGCAACGAGTTATGCTTCAGGTAGCCAGGTAGGTGAGTTTCGTCAAAGATTTGTTTAGGATAGTACGAGATTGCGGGCATATGATTGGCTTGTGTCCATCGTCAGACATCCGTCTTCTATAGATGAGATAAAGCGTTCGCAGCGATCAGCGAACGAAGAGCAAGATAGATTATCGTTCATGGTGCTAGTTCTGCTAAATCACGTTAGTAAAGGTCTCGTGCCCCTATTGAGTTGTCCATCGACAACAATGAGCCAGTTGTAGTTCCATTTTGAGCGTATCAGATTGAAGAGGTTATGGAAAATATTTTGCTATCCTGCTTCATTTGGAAACAGAGCTTTAGAAGGAAGTGTCGAGTAAAACATGTAATGAGAACACTAAGAGGCGTCTTCAATAAGGAGACGTTCCCACATAGTGTCGATAGGCCGCCCTATAGGCATCATTCTATGCAACACATTGATTATTCGTAGTAGTTTGCAATCAACACAGAATATATGGGTCGTTCTTCATGACCACCCACAGACGAACATTTTGAGACAATTGGTTAATTGGTTGAAAATGAGAGTTTTTCAAGTTATTTCAGTCTATTCCTATTCAGGTTTGCTGAAGACTATGTATATGACTGGGGCTATCCCTAATTATCGTCAATACATGAGTTAGGTCTACTGTATTGCCACAGTTTTTCTTTTTTAGTCTAGATAAACTGTAGCAAACAAGGCTAACCGGCTCTACTCGTGCAGAACAGTAAGCAGCTACGATTAATATAAAATGCCGGTAGATTCATGTTCTTTCCCTCGTCATACTTAGCAGGCATGAACTTACACAATATGTTAAAACGAAAAATATAAAAACCGTAGCTTATGTGAATACCTCGCTCTTTTTATTTCAGCACGAGCGCTGGTGTCGAAAATGGGACAACGACACGATTTGTCAACGCGTTAACGCAAATTAATAAAAGTAAGGTTCGGTAAAACGAAGAAATTCGCCTTTCGAAGTAGATCGATCATTACCCGCACTTGATAATTGTGCCCATAATATAGGTTTATATAAAAAAAAATAATCACCCATAACGTAAACGGTAAAAAACCTAAGGTAAAAAGGTGCCATCATACTCGACGAATGAAACAAGTGTGGGCAGGATTCGTGCATTCGTTTTGAAAACAGTCTAAGGAGGTTAAAGTGTTACCAATTCATTATGTACGGATTGCGTTATATTGGGTGCTGATTCGCTGGAAAACGACGAAGCAATAAACTTGGCTGGGTGCTAAATTAAACATTAGACCATGATTTAATATTTCGAAGTATTTCCACCTGGAAACGGTAAGTTGTGATCACTGGCGCCGAAATCAGTGCTCATTCTATCGAACGGACCCGCGTAATGAGCATCAAGCGCTGTGCTCAGGACCTACAGAAAATTCTTCCTCTTTGCAGAGATTATGGATCAACAGGAGGAATAAGGCTTTCATTGAAAAAAATCATTGAGGGAACATGGCAGTACGAGCTTAACCATCCATGTCCATAACCATCACGTGAAGAATGACGTCCTACCACTAACTGGAGACGTACAAAGTTTCTCTTTTTCGCCTTCAGCTTACTCAGATGAAGTTTTTCCAACACAAAAACCGTTAGCGTTAAAAACGAAATCACGCACAATCAATTATTAGTTAAATTTGCGCTAAAACGATCTCGGGTATATAGTATATAAGGAAATTTACGAGAAAATAATTATACATTACGTGCATCATTTCTTCATTTTAATCTAATCCTGCTTGCACGAGCAAAGCGACCGCTGTTGTTCCCTCCAGAGCCTGCCATTGTAGCTTGCGAATTGTGGAATCGCGGTTCAAAATCGATTTCAATCTAAATAACGATATTGCAAGTTAGTGTTTGTTGAACGAAATTTTTAGGAAGATGCTGATCACAGTACTCATTAGCCGGGACGGTAGTCAAGGAAAATGTTAGTAGATAGCAGTAACATGGTGGTAACGTCGTATTAGAAGACTGCATTAAGATGCACGAAACATCCAGAGAAATATTCCGCTTATAGGGTCAATTTAAGGATTTTTGAGATGGCTCCGTGCACTTATGTACGTAGGGATGGGTGAAGATTGTATAAGCTAGCTTCATCGCGTTGAATGCTGTGTTGTTCAGATCGTGAGTGTAATTTAAGGTAGGCTAAAGTGTAAGGGTACGCTGGGTTCAATTTTACGTGGTCAGAGACATACGTGTGTTGAAATTATGCTCAGTTTTTAATCATAAGTATGGTCGCTGTAATTCTAATAGGTAGCGATCTAGCAATCTCTCAACCCAAAGAAATAAACATCGTAAATATGAAACATTTGTGCGAACTCTATGTATATTACCAGAAGATCTAAATCAATCTTTCTGACAGGTGTGGATGATCGTTTAGAATCAAGTGGAGAGCCTCGATTATCAATCGCTGAACGGTTCCCCATTGCAAGTTCCCTTTGTGCCGGAGCATTTGCTGGTGCCATCGCAAAGACTGTCATAGCTCCACTTGATCGAACCAAAATTAACTTCCAAAGTAAGTCTATGATCTTACATTAACATAAAGTATTTAAACATAAAATACCTAGAGTAATAAAGTCTACTGCTGGGCAGTTTCTGATTGTCCCATCGACCGATTTCGACCGTCTGTTCATCGCCAGAGCAATGTTTGTAGCGCCTAGTGTGAAGCAGGTTAGTTAATTTTTTAGGCTTCACAAAAAGTCCTCCCCCTTTAGCATTTAGCCTACCTAAATTCAGTTTCCGTAACTCCATTTTACCTCATTTCAGTCCGTCATATTCCCTATTCACTGCCAAAAGCTTTCCATTTCCTCGGCGAGAGCTATCGTAAGGATGGGCTGTCGTCATGGTGGAGAGGTAATACAGCCACAATGGCTCGGGTCATCCCTTACGCCGCGTTACAGTACACAGCTCATGAGCAGTGGAAGAAAACGTTGCGAGTGGAGACTCGAGAGGAGCGAAGAAAACGACCCTTTATGGGCTTTGTCGCAGGTTCGTTAACAATTCAATTTATCAATGGCTTATTCCCCGGCCCTCAGTTAAGTACTATGGCCCTCCAGAGGTTAAATGCCCGTGCGTAGCCGATCGTCCAGCAGATCGCTATTTACAATGCTACAAACGGCGCCATGAGGCTTAATTTTAGCTTCTGCAGACTGAACATTTTCACTGTCGTCGATGACTAGCTTTCAAAAACAGGCACCACAAAAAAGTCCTTGAGAAAAAAGACTAAAATATATATTTAGGCATTTTGAACGTAGAGCCTAGGCCACCCGGCTTTCAAAAAAAAATAGGAAGTCAACATAGTGAAGGCCTATTTTCCTCCCGCCATTGGCAAAATAGACGACCTAAATTAAGCATACATTCCAGGCACCCTTGCCCTTTTCATAGGAGGTCGTTTTTCCAAAGCGATGGCGAAGCCTTTAGTTAAAAAAATTACCGGTTTCCCTACTGTGGTGACAGTAGCAAGCCACACAAAATATCGATCGCTTCATGCTTTAACAGATTCAAAGATCTGTTTGTCGATAGGATCAGCTGATGATTTAAAGTGAGCATCGGCGCTAGCTTGCTTACTAGGATTTGACACTTTTTTGTGATTATAGCAGTTTTTGGCTGTTTCAGATATGGTTCATCTCTTGAGATTTTAAATGGAAATTTTCAGTGCTGATGTTTCTTTTAAGGAACGGTGCTTGAACACCCCGATATCTCCGCTCCAGTAACTTCATTATAACAATGAAAAGAACTATACGTGTGCAGGTCTGTTTTGCGTCTGTACGTTCGAGGGATGGCCATTTTTAGTGAAAAAGAAAGTGAACCCGAATGCAACTTTGAAAAATTTTAATTACTGTAATACATCAGGGTAGCCTTTGCCGATCCGTGGAAATGTTAGGTACCTAACGAATTCTATTTCATCACCTGACGGAGATGATCAGCTTATAATATTGTTGCCACAAGATAGGAAAGAAAGAACTTAACGAAATTGCTATATAGTTTAATTTGAAGAGAATTAACATTGAAGAGTCATTTGAACGCTAACTACAATTTTGCTTAAAGACTATCTATTATCTTGCATAGGCAGTTTTCGGGTTATTTTCATATTGCCTTACGCAATTTTTGCTTTTCCTTGTAAGTGTTATGACTGCATGCTATGAGCAGAGTTGCTCTGGTGGATTTTTTATCGCATGAAGCTTCTAGAAAAATCTAGACTTTGCCAATTGTTTACGGTTAATTAATGATAAACGTTCCTTATTAACATTCGTACATGGAATCTATACTGGTGCAACAAGTTTTATTGTAAGGCATCTACCTTTCTTTAGTGAGTTAGTCAGCATAACTTCCGGATGCTTTTTTTCTGCAAACAAGTTTCTATAAAACTTGTTTGATAACTGGGTAAATAGTCCTCTTGCGTGGCCTATTGATGAATGCAAATATCTATTAGTATATTCTAAGATAACCTTGCTTAATTGTGATGTAAATGTAAAGTTTAGATGTTTTTTGATGTTTCCATGCTGCCAAATGATGGTTGCAGGGAGTTTAGCGGGGGTCACTGCGTCATCGCTAACTTATCCGCTTGATTTGGCTCGAGCTCGAATGGCTGTCTCTCGATGCGAAATGTACAAAAACCTTGGTAAGTCTTTGAGGATGATTTGTACGAAAAACCATTGGGCAAGCTTTTCAGGACGATCGAACTGCATGGCAGCTGTGATAAAAGGATTCCTATATTACAGCCAGGGCAGGGAGAGGGGCCGGCTTTTCGCAGAGAGAAGGCTATCATTACTGAAAGCGGCATAAGAGGCGAATCTAAGTAATGTGGGCAATACATTATGCATAATTTATAAATGGGTCCACTAATACGGTTATTTTTATTTAATTCTTCGAATTCATAAATACATCAGATTAGACAGTCGCTAACAAGTGCACGCATCGCACAACACATGAGCTCTGTTTGATATCAGAGCGAAATTTGTTGCCGATTAGTAAACGCTTACAGTAAGTACTTTAATTAATCCCATTAAGTTTCATTCTTGATTATTCGCACGTCACAAAAGGTTTATTTTAACAGGCCACTTTTAAATAACAGGATATATTTCTGAAGGCAAAGGCGTGATTTTAGCGTAATTCTTAATTTTCTTGGTGAACTTTTAGGAGAAGTTTTCCTAAAAATTTGGCACCATGAGGGGCCGCAAGCGCTCTACAGGGGTTTTGTACCCTCCTTACTTGGCGTGGTACCTTACGCAGGAGCCAGTTTCTTTACTTATGAATGGTTAAAACATCACCGGTTGGACTTAAAAAAGCAATGTGAGTCAAGAGGCAGGCTAGTAGAAAGCAGGAATGCGAACTCACGTGCTACAGAAACAACGGAAAAGGTAATTTCATCACTCAAGCAGAATATATAATCAATGTCAGGTGAGCTGAAGTGCACATGAAGCTGAAGTAACACCATTAGTGACTTCTAACCTTAAACTCTTTAGAGTGAAAGATACTGATTTTGTCTATACGGTCAGTTCATTATGACATGTGTAATGATGAAATAATGACGCTTTTTTCGGAGGTATTTCGACAGATACCAAATGCCGTATTTGTGATGTTAATCGTCTTGCCACACACTTTTGCGCAATTGCGAGTATACTTCCATATGCTTTACACTTCGTAAGAACGAATAGTCACTCTAGAACAAGTAACCCTATGACGGATTTCATATATGGGAAATAAATTGGGCACTTATACTATTATATAAAGCAGCTTAATTTACGACCTTCGGCATGAGCAAAGCTAATGGTACGAATCAAATGTGACTTATATATAATCAAACAAATTGACTTAGATTCTGCTTGAATGCTGCGATAAGTGGACCATGACTGTACTAATACTGTACCTTCACATTAGGGTTTTAATCTGATTTAAAAGCATGTAAACGTCGACAGAGACTTTGAAGTGTATGACACGATGCTAGCGGTCTTATCGTCTAGAAACAGAACAACTGGACGCATTGTTTGAGTTCAAAATGACGGCATCCCCAGCACTTTTACGTGCTGTACGTACGTACCAATAGGAATAGATAATGTAACGATTATCTGCATTTTACCAGGTTAGCGTCCCTGGCGAGCTGCATCCAATGGAACGGCTAGCTTGCGGGGCCATTGCTGGTTTGATTGGACAGAGCTGTTCCTATCCTTTGGACATTGTACGTAGGCGAATGCAAACGTCGAGATTGACTGGTAAGGGTTTGTATGAGTTTATACGAGTAGATAACGTTGACTAATACAACAGCTAAGAGGTCATATGCCCCCATACTTTGATAACAAATTATACCAAGGGTCATTGCAAGTATTTCCCTATATTTAGTCCTAAGCTGATAAATTGGTTTTGTAAAAAAAGAAAAAAGAAAGATGAAGAAGTTTTGTGCAAAAAATGAACTTGTTTTTCATCTTCGGTGTATTCGTATTTTTTTTATAAGGATTATAGTACTGAAACATTGAAAGTCGTTTTTGGCTCTCCCTTGAATTCTTGGGGCAACATATCTTTTTCTCCATTATACTATGGCATTTATAATCTTATTAGATAAGATTATATATAAGATATATTATACATGTTTTATATATATATAATAATAAGTTTTTAAATAATGTGATTTCCAATGCACAAATAGCCTATTAGACAAATAAACACAGACATATGGTGGTCCTTTTAAAGGATGAAGCTTTGAGGAAAGACCGGCAACAAGTATGGCTATTCATATTTTGATTATCTAGCAGTAGTGATATTTATCTGTTTTTACAGATAGCTGGCATACTAATATATAGTAAACGATAATTCCAGGGAAAAATTATAGAACAATACGTGGAACTATTCTACATATTTGGAAGCACGAAGGCCTGCGTCGAGGACTTTTTAAAGGGCTGAGTATGAATTGGATTAAAGGACCAATCGCAGTCGGCACCTCATTTATGGTCTATGATGTTACTAGAAATTTCCTTGGTTCACATTACCTTTGATTAACGTCATTTGTTTACGTCAATGGGATCACATAAATCGACCAGACTATAAAGTAGGTCTTATAATTAAAGAAGCAGATATAATTAATCCGCTTCTACAGCATCATGACCAGCTTTGTTAAATGAGTTTTTAATAGTAGCAGATATTTCAGTCACTCTTCGTTAAGTTTTTGGCAGCAATTAACGGCCAGTTCAGATATGGCGGCCGTGCCTTTAACGTTATATAGCTCTGGAGCTTTGTAATCTTCTAGTAAATTCCGTTGCTGATTTCCAAGCAGCATCTGTTTTGCAGCACATGCCCATATAGTGTGTTTAGTTGCCTTACTATAATTAGTAGTAAGTTTTCTTGAAGCCACAGCTTTTTTTTTTGTAAAACGCGCATGAAAGGAAATTTATATCTCTTCATGTAAAAGACGTATTACAGAAACTCGTCGCATATTGATTGTGACGCAATGTATTGACGGTATAGCTCATTTCAACCACCAAAGCAAAGCTGTAGTAGTACGTTGCGGTTATCAAACCACTAATGAGAGTGAGATAGCTAGGCAGCATAAACAGCTCAACCAACTGTGCCCGTCTTCTAACCAGAATTACTATGATATCGTCGTTTAGATAGACCGATACAGATATTACGGAAACTTATAATAGAGATCGAAATCATTAAAGACTGTTACAAGATGTAAATGTACACGGCCTACGGATTCGCTCGACTTCTCGTCTTCGGGAATGACCTCATTGACCTCCCAACGCTGCCACGTATCTCTGTTAAAGTCTAACGACCGTTCACCGTGAGACCAAATTCGCTCCGCTGTTTTTCAAAGAGAAAGTCAATGATTTTAGTGCGTGGCGAATGTAGCCATTACAAAGTTTATGAAGACAAAAGCAACTTACCTTCTGGTCACCGAGACCCGGTAATCTGTTAATCGGTATTTCAAATTTACCGGGCAAACTAAAACACCCAAAAGAGACTACATATGACCTTTCGACATATAGCGAATAGGCGCTCTTTACTAATTCGATAGTTTGTCGTTGTTAGTTGTTAGGCATTCTAATAGCTAACGTGTCGACCTTTTGACAAGTGGTAACTGGTTGTTGTTACATAACGGATCGAAGAGAGTGTTTCGCCTTCTCGAGAACTGCTATTTTTGGCGTTTGTGCATATAGCAGACGAATCCAAGGACAGTTTAAAAATGGTCGCAGTTTATCCGATCAAACACCTGTATACGTTTGCTGTTATTGACAATACACACGTACAAACACTGACGCACATGTGATTACTTCGCCGAATCCAAATAGAAGACAAAAAAGGAGTAGAAGCATGATCATTCGAGTATTATATATTAATTAATGATAGGCAATCGTATACAAATGTTGGATCCACTGATATATTTTTTTTTCAATAATTTCTGCTCACCAGCGTCGTTGAAGCGCAGCGTAAAATGGGGCCTATGTCTGGAATTGTGGGTATATGCTTATTAGTTCCTTGCTGCACGAAAAAATAATCTCCGACGGTGGGGATTTGCGGGAAGACGCTATGTTGAAATGTGCACTAAGTGGATCCTGTCGGTCCTTAGAGTTAGCGTTTTCACAGCACGGTTTTGTTGGCCTTAATGACCCAGCTATTGACGGCAACGCTTGATGGTTCAATAACAAAATCGGCGTATTTTTTGCAACTGTGCGATAGTTTCAACTGCGGATGCAAGTCAGTCAGCTGTGATTAGCAGCGAGTGCAATCAGAGTAAATGGTGTTATGCATATTTAAATCTACCGTCCATACTGTTTGTTTATTAATAGCGTATGAATTTATCGATCTGAACGGGCTTGCTATAATCAGGTGCAATATTTTTCCAATATATAGTTTTTTGCCCATATTTTACAGATTAAATCCATAAAATACAGATTAAATCGGACCAGATCAGTTTAATCAGATTAATATACAAACCTATATCTAAATATTATTAATTTAGAAGATACTTTTATTAGTATGGCTGGAACTAGATTTGAGATTGCGCTGTAGTGTTTGATTCTAAGCATTAGAATTTGTGTATATCACATATATAAAAAATTACCTGTAGAATAGTGGTTATTGAGGCAAGACTTTGTAAAACAGTAATTCTTCATTGGACTCGTTGGAAACGGAATGTTCCACCGTGTGGATTTGTATCGTTATGCTATAGTGCTTCAAAAATAACGTTCGTATATAGTATTTAGTTTTTATTAAAAAACGTGACGAAGAGTAAATCAAATAAAAACGACGGAATAAATTATCGTTGTTTTTATTTTACTCATAGAACTACTGTTAACATTACAATCTGTCGTTGTGTATTATCAGCCCGTTATAGGGTAGTAAGATAATTATGCCAAAACTCGGTAACGCGTAAAAAAGCTGTAGAGGACATTCGTATCTTGCTAACTTTCCCTGCAGCAAACCCTGAAAGACTACTACAAATAATGTACATCGCTTAGCTTGCTCCAGATCCATTGCATTCGTAGATTTCAAGCCTATGCCCTGCTGGTTTCAGCCCTGTTTCACAACAAAGCAGTATGCATATTATTTTGTCAAATATTATCTCATTTGTCTTATTACATAGATTTATTCACTTCAGATTTTTTATCTAGAGCTATTTATTGTTATCTAGAATTATACAGTTTTGTCGCTGATCCTCTCCTACACTCAGTGTCTTTACTCAAGAGTAATTATGAGTAAATACATTTCGAAATAATGCTACTCACGTAATAAAAGTACAATAGCAGACAGCATAAAAAGGTTGATATTTACGAATTTACTGCATTAAACTTATGTAGGGAAACGTATAGCTACCTCGTGGTTGTTTGCGACAGCTAGTGATAGCGAGAAGATTACGGGCCAGTTCATTTAAATAACACGTTTAAAGAGCACTTGTTTGTAGACGAGCTTTTTCAGTGCTTGCTTTGCAAGTGACTGAACATGACCGGTAGTTGTCTACCCTAGGATCTCTACCTGTTATGTAACTACTCGCTATTTCACTTGTGGAAATTGCTTCTGGGCACAGCGCTGCCGACTGAACGGAATGACGCTAATGATCTACTGTCGAAAAATGAACTTGGTATAGGATAAAACCATAGTGAACACTGTGGCTTAATCATATATCGTCAAATGCTTCTTGACAAAGCGACTCGGGAAAGTTTTTTTGTGCACTTCATCTTCCAGTGACCGAGACACAATCCAAGTAAAGGTACACTGGGATCGATACGCAGGCCGGATCTAACTCACACAGCTAACGACCAACATTAATCCTTCCCTAAAGGACAGAAGGGTATATGCTTATCTAAAGCATTTTCTTTTTTTTCAAATTTAAAGCCTTTCATTTGGAACGGCTAATACTGCCAACTTCAGTGCAATGCAGAATGGTGGAAAACGTCACGGCGCAATCATCTACAAGAACGGCTATGAGCCAGACCTCACTTAGAGAAACAATTCGCACACCGTTTTCGACCATCTAGCGTTTTCAATTTCGGGAGTGCTAGAAGCAAATGAGCGGTACTTGCCAGTCCTTTGACACCGTTCGTTCTGCGTTCAAGACCTAGCTACAAGAGATTGTTGGATGTTTTACCAAGTTATTTCTGCATATCATACTATTAAAGAGAGATGTGCGGTTGGATGCAAGGCACTATCATAAGATCTCTTACCTACATCCTGTCTGTATACAAGTGAATCCAGTTACCTAGATCATGATATAAGAGCTATAATATATGCTGATAATACAAAGATGTATGTGTTTAGGACGGAAGACTGTCGAAAAGTACAAACTGCACTAAATCGATAGATGGACAGTCGAATTAGATTGAAGATCTTCCTAAGTGTGCAGTGGTGCACCTCGGAGTTTCGATAAATAGATATATTTAATTGACAATAAAGGACCGCATGTATGACCTTGGGGAATTAACCAATCATAAATAAAAAGATCATGTATCAGACATCGTAGATAAATTTGTTATTAGTGATCTTCACATCTTCTAATGCCGATTAAACCAATGCATCTCAAAACTAAATTATAGGACTGATGAAATAGAACACTGCTGCAATGTGATTGATTCGCAACGCCTAGGTTGATTTTAATGAACCGGAATGATTTTGATAACCGGAAACAACGATTGAAACAATATCTAATACTGAATGTTCCACGAGTTGCCCAAATATTCTTAATTACAATCCCTCTTATGGCCACAACAGCTCTTAATATACAACCCAAAGTGACTGCCATGAGAACCAGCGTAGGTAGCACCTCCGCGTGTTGTGTTCCACGCTTTGCTGGCGAACGAATGGATAGTATTTCTATTCGCCGTTGTTCACTTATGCAGTAAAGTGTATGTACTAAATGGTAGTTGCGTGGATTTACAACCAGGTCACTCTGTAATTGTTGCGAGCCGAATAATCCAAAGAAATCCGCTGTATATCAAAGCGCACTGCTATGTCGTTCCTTGGCGTACGAGATTTGACATGTCTTTAAGGAATCTTCGAGGCCATTTACGAGTACATAACGAAGATTACGGCATAACTGAGAGAAGAAAACAGGCTAAGAGTTGACATAAGAAAATATTCAAATCAAACAAAAATAAGTCCTCCTGAAGTCATAAAGGTTTTTCCAGCATCGGAGAACATGTGAGGGTAGTGTCACTATAGTTGATAGACACTGAAGTAATTTCCATACCCAAATATTGAGGTGTGAGGCGTTGTAGCAAACTTTACATAAAATACTGAGAACAGCGTCACAACCAAAAAGCGACAAAGCTCCATTTAGGGGCCAATCCTATGCAATTTTGGTTGCGATGGAAGGTAAGTTTATTTACAAAGCAATCACAATATATTACTCAGCGTTAGTGATCACGGCCAGGGCCAACGTAAAACTAAGAAACAAAACAAACACAACTTTATACAGTGTAGCATACTGGATATATAGACACTAGCTCAAACTAATACATCAGAGGCCCGATGTAGTGCATACTGGCAGGAAGAAGTGCAGCAATTTTATATCAACTTAAAAGGATATCCAGTTTAATTAGAGAAAATGGCTAGTATCTGAAAATGAGGTTTGAAAGAATTAATGACTTGTACCACTAAGGTGACCGAATATATTTGTTTCCCGTGACGAACTACTTTGTGTCTCTCAATGCTTCTCTACTTACAGGCTACTTGCAGTTCCCGTGAGAGGCTACGAATGGGCATCTTTCGTCAGTTACGGCTCAACCTGTTCGACGGTTGAATCCGTCAACCTTAGTGCTAAGCTTTTCCACAAGTGAATGCTGGGGTAGTGGCTGAAAGACGACTGCAGATTAATTGGCCACTTTATTAACCTCCTATGAAATAGCGTCGCGCACGTGAGAATGTCCTGCTAGAGGGCGCTAGCATTGCTGACTAATGGGTCAGTAATTTGCTCTGCTGTCTTCCTTTTCCTTCCCGATACCTTTTGTATCTTGCTCGGTTTTTCTGCGTAAAACATTGAGCGTGAAAAACTTAAGCTACGAAGTTTTAAAGTTACTGTACTTGGTAGCTTATATAAGTAATCAAGTATCACTCCAATTTATGCAAGAATCGTGAGCTTAACGTTTAATCAAGTTGCCATACTCCCAGGGGACACCGCAAAAATAAAATTAGAGTCGAAGAATTAGTGTATTAGTTTAGAGAGCGCTTTTATATAAAATTCCCGCGTTCAGGAAGCTGATTTTTTGTAACCGTTGCTGTTCCTCTAGAAGGAGAAAAATACATTGCCTACGGCCAGAACACCGTCAAAATTTGAAGTCGACTTTTTCCACCTGCCGGGTCCGGTGCGAAAACTCTTTCACTAAGATCCAGCCAGGAAGACACCCAGGTTTGGTGGAAGGATAAAGACATTTCTGAGACCTCGAACTATGATAAGGACACAACTTCTCTTAGAACTAACAAGGGACCCCTAGCGATGCCATGCGTGGCACTCGTTGGAGGGTCATAGACAAAGCTAAGACGATGACCTAAGCAAAGGAGGAATACAGGTTATAGATGAAAGTGAATACTGGACGTGTCTTAGTCTCCGTGCTTAGCTTAGTCGGAAACGTATTTACCTGCTAATCTTTGGGGCACGTTGTGGTCAGGTTCGAACCCAAGTATAGATAATCTTCGTTTCGTGCCGACTGATGGAATGCCTAGCGGAGATAATGGACGTAAAACGTGAAACACAGAGGCGTTGAGCCTTCTTGAAAGCGGGCACAAATACATCGGATACAACATCTTCCCAAATAATAAAACCTACTTCTAGGCTGTCGCAGACAAAGTGGTTGCCTAGTGATCCATCAGCCAATTTTTGAAGGCTGTTTTGAGAAGCCAAAACTTGCCGACTGAGATGTTACTAGATCTGAGAGAACAATACAATAACACATAAGTATCAATTAAGGCCGGAATGATGTAACTAGTAGCAGTACCTTGCTGGCTGGCGGAAGTAGATGCAAAAAGAAAACTACAAGTAGGAACGTACAAAGAAGAGATAGCGATATACAGTTATAACTGATTGCACTACCAAAGGAGCTTCGTAGCCAAATAGAACCTCTCTTGTAAAATAATTCTAAGCTAAAAAATCATAGGGGACGCTTGTTTTATCCAGTCCTTCCGTTCGAACGCCTCGTATGCACTGGCTACAATAGCCATTTGGGTAGAAAACTCATTTCGGAGCTCAGAGGGAAGCGCAGGTAATCGAAAATAATCTCAGTAATGTTAAGACGTTTTAAGAAGTGCCGGTAGTAGTAGCTAGAAAATGCAAAGGCCTTTTGAGGCATATAGGAGACACGCTTTATCGAAAAAGCTCGCTCCACAATACTTCTCAGTCCTACCTGTGACAAAACTCACGGCCAGGAAAACTACCATTTTTCGCACGATGCTGCCGACGTAGTCAATGCAATGCACCATCGTATACCAGCCAACGACCAGGTATCTTGACGGTACTTGGGAAGTCCGCCAGGAGGCTTTTTGATGTCCTCCAAAAGTAGAAGTTATACGGTAACCCTTGGCTTTTCACATTTGCAAGTAGTTTGAAGGATTATCGTTAGAACGCTTCGTTGAAGCATGATGCCGGCCAAGTGATTCTTGTGCCGAGATGTCGAGAGTAACTACGTTTTGAAATAACAAAGACTGGGTTCATTGTGACGCCAGTATGAGATTAACGTCACGATGCTCTAGGTTACGGAGTCCAGGAACGACGGCATTGTTATCGGAATAGCGGAAATAATACCCGGAGACAGAAACATTTGTAGAATTCATCACAAAGGGAACAAATTTGTGTGTGACGTTGCTGGCCTCCCCTCTACGGTAGTCATTTATGATGTCAGTTTCTTCACAGGCGCTAAGTAAATAGAAAAAGAGTTACGGTAAGCACTAACACTGCCCGACGATACGAAAATCCAAACGAAAAATCCATGCGTAGGCAAAAACGACTGCTTGTACTGCTTTCTTACTGTACTATGCACTGCTGCCAAAAAGCTCCTTGCGTACAGGAAACTTCAGATTAATGGCTCCAACTTTCGATCATAAGAGCAAGTTTCGCTTCCTACATTGAAACTGTTCTACTTAAAAAACTCGATCATACTGCATGAGAATGCAAGCACGACAGAGTAATAGAGAAACTAACCTACAAATACGAAGAAGTTAAACAATTGGCGATATAATGCACAGCTGGCACGAATATAACGTGTAAGGACGTACAGCTGTTTTTATGACATGTCTTAAGTACAAAGAAGTCGTTAAGGTGCGGGAAGGGCTATGCAGGAAAAACCAGAAGGTATAGAAGACGAAGACAACCTCAAAAATCTAAAAGAATGACGGTAATCAGCGGCGGATGATCGATCAAAGTCAAACAAAAAACCAGAAAAAAGGTTCTCATAGGACAAAATCATAATGCGGCGACGGAAATCTGAAGTTCTAGGGATTCTGACAGAGGAGGGGAAATGGTTCTGGAATGGACCCTTGTAAACAACATAGTGATCTTAAACCGACTTTTCACTACGCAAAGAGGGAATTTCTTTTTAATCTAACCATTGTGGGCACTGACATGGTTGGAGTAATCTCAGGAAGAGAAAACCCTAGTGACCATTACCGTATAAGGTCTTTTTTATTAAAAGAGGCATCACCGAACAATACTTGCAAGAATCATTTAAGACTGAAAAGTCCAATCGTTCCATAAATGACTAGGAAGAGCTTGAGCGGTTACTCATTAAGCCTTATTCGCTGATCAATACCAAACGAACCAAGCCGGTAAAGTTAAATTATTAATGGAACTTCGGCATAATAGAAGAAGAAAAGCCTACTCCCTGGCTTGGAGGGCTATCAAAGAACCATAGGTAATGTCAGAGTGGCTCCTGACCTGGTAGTTACCTACCATCATATATAGCACGTCCGATGTGATGGAGAGCACGGAGGGTGACTCCGACGAACTGATCCGCTAGGCACTTGCTATTTCTTTTATCGGCCCACTGTTTAAATCAAAATTCGGGTTTGAATGAGAGGGTAAAGCCTACAGAGGAAACGGTTTTTGTGGATACATGGCTCACAGTACCGGTTCCGTCTAATCTAATTAAACAATTTAAGTTGCCATCTTCTATTAAAAAAAGTTGATGCCGAGAGTTGTGAGATAGTACGGGAGAAATTTGTTTACGTCGGTGGCAACTTTTATCTTTGCAAAAGATATGCAAGATCGAAATGAAACAAGGGTCACCTAAGGGAAGTACATAGCCTACTCTAAAAAAAAAAGGGTTAGCATCCAGTACCATCTCGATACCTGCCGCCTAATCCTGAGTATAACGGTATCATAGGACATCATGGTAAAGGAGTGGAAAAAATATATCAATATCAGACGCTTACCCAGAAGGCTAGAGAGAACATCCTCGAGAAGTTGCAACCC